TATATATATATATATATAAAAGAGATAGAAAAGATGACGTTTCCATTTTTAAAATGTGAACTCTTTAGTAAGCCCTCGATTTTTTCAGATTAATGCAATTCTAAAACTTTTTCCTAATTTTTGGACACCCTGAATGGAAAACATTAATTCAATTATGGTTCGATTTAGGAATTTTGACAATATCAAATATGTATACTTATACATATATTTTGATATATGTATAAGTATACATATTTAATAGAAGGGCATACATTTAGAAAAACAGCCAAACTTGGACAAAAGCAGAAAATCAGTATCTCACTTAAGTTAAAAGGGGTATTGAACATGGAATTCCGACATCTATAAAATTGGGGAAACATTAATTCCTTGAAGCACTATTATAAATGCAATAATTATAAATAGTACAAGCACAAAAGTTACTTAAATTAATCACACTTCCTTTCAATCATTTTCAGACAGTAAAATTCCTTGAAACTTTCAATTTTGAAACGTAAGCTGAATTAATATTAAAAATCTTCAACAACAAAAAAAAAATTACCAGCATGTTTAAATGCCCATTTACCAAAAAAAATTTATGCTTACAGTTTCAAAGAATTTAAAAGCGCTATGTATGAAGAAAAAAAAATTTATTTTTAAAGACTTTTCAAAATTATAACACTGAAAGTAATCATTTTGAAGAAAAATACTAAAATACTTTTTCTCAAAATACAAAAGAAAGGAATTTCAACTCTTACAAAACAACTTATATCTACAATTTTAATTTTTGACTCTAGATTAAGAAATAAATATAATAAAGGTATAATACCCAGAAGAACATTGGTGAACATCTTTGCCTTCCATATTCAGCATGTATGGTATACTTGGTCCACATAAATCTACATCAAGTAATCCAGTCTTAACATTAGAAAGAAAAAATTGAATTAATACGAAATTTTATTTGAATCCAAATCTTTTCAAATTCTGATAGACATTTTAAACATAAATTTACAATAAAAAGAAGTCTTAATCTCATAACAAACAAGAGACTACAACAAGAAATTATAAATATAGAAACATAAAAATACTTAAAAGCAAAACAGTATAAATAAGAAATTAAAATACCTTAAAATTTAAATCTCTTAACGACAAAGCTAGATGAGCAGCAACTGATGATTTGCCCACACCTCCTTTACCAGATAAGACAACAATAATATTTTTTACATCTAAAATTAAATAGATTAGTCTAAAATGATTTACCACAAATTAAATAAAAATTATACTCTTTCAATTGATTCAGTACAATATTTATTTCTACTTATTTTTATTATATATAATAGCATGTACGTATTTAGGTAATAGCAGCAAAAATACAACAAATAATGTAGAGGTCACAAATTAAAAATAAAATATAGTTAACTCTGCATTATCTATTTGTTGGTTAATCTGCTGTCTTATTATAAGGCAAATTTTATAAACAAAATGCTACCACATGACTAATTCTTTTAATATCACAGTAGATTCTGTACTATAATATTTTTTCTTCTCGAGATAATGTACTGCAACAGTTTGTCCTTCTACGATTCAATAGCATAATATTTTGTCTTCCTGAAATTCTCTGCCATTTTGTTTATGTCACATTCAGTACCACAATATTGTTTATGTGAGATTCTGTTCAATAATATTTTGTTGATGTAATATTCTGTACCACAATATTTTGTCTGTTTAAAATTCTATATAATGATGCTTAAACTAATTCTAAAATTTTTCCACAGCTAAATTTGTTTAGTAATAAGAATTTCTTTTTTTTTTTTTTTTTTTTTTTAATTTTTTTNTTTTTTTTTTTTTTTTTTTTTTTTTTTTTTTTTTTTTTTTTTTGAAAAAGCAAATTTACTAATGAAGAATTGTTTCTTTACTATAAAACACATATGATATTTTTTCCTCTTGAGATAATGTACTCTGATATTTCTCTCTCTTAAGATTCAGTAAATTAATATATTGTTTTTCTGACATTCTGTACCATGATATTTTGTTTATATGACATTCTATATCATAATAGTTTATGTGAGATTCTGTACAACAATATTTTGTTAATGTAAAATTATGTACAACTGTATTTTTTCATTCTTAATATTTAACCTAGTGATACTTGAACCAATCATTTCTAAAATTGTTCACTTATATTTGTCAATGTTAAATTCATTTAATAATGATAAAATATTCTTCAGAAAAGGCAAATTTATAAATGAAGAATTTTTTATAAACTATTAAACACATATAAATACAGGTAATATATTTTGCATCCTGTATAGTGAAAAATCTGTGAAATTAGTCGTCTCCCCAATCATTTCCATATATAACCAGAAGTTTTCTATATATAAATGTAATATGTATAAAAGTAAAATGTACTTATCTCTACATGTGCAAGAAAAGAAACTAAATTTTTTATTAATGTATATTAAGACATATATTAGCTTCATGCATAAAAATATCTGCCTTAGGGAAGATTACCATATCAGTACCTGAGTCAAAATAATAACCAAGTTTTGAAAATTTCTAGGCAGTGGCCCACAAGAAACTAAAAATATATATCACAGGAGACCAACTCATAGTGTATAACCTACAGCCACTCCCAGACAGACTTTTTTAAACTTTTGTAATTTAAAAATGATGCCTTGGCAATAGTAATTGCTATGAATAGGCACTGACACAGAAATATCCCTTTGTTTTAGGATCTGTCAACATTTAATGAAAATAAAGGGGATATTTCCATATCTGCATTTGTTTCCCCCAATTAAAATTACCAAAGCATAAAAGGGATTTTTAACCAACTGGAATTGGAGAGAGAAAAAAATATGTAGAGGTTTGTCCAGGGATGGATAACAGTTTTACCCTTCCAGTAGACCCAGAACTTGGTGTTTTTTGGGGTAGGAATTGATGCAGAAATCTTCCCAAAAGAAAACTGCAAATAAATTATTTTTAAGCATTTTTTTAAAAATTATATTAATATTTTAATATGCTAAATCTACAACTAAAACATTATAAAAATATTAAAATATTTGTACATAATGGAAACATTTTCGTATCGTGAGCTGCGGCAGAACAATCGCCAAGTCTTAGCCACTTCCGGGCAGCTGACTGCAAGGAACTAAAAAAAGCATCACAGAAGGAGACCAACTCGAAAGGTATAAAAGTGTTTACTTTAAAATAATTGCAAGTTCAAAATCCATTTGGTGCCTTGGAGAGACAGATCATGCTACGGAAATATCCTCAAGAATCGGAATCCTTTTTGTATTATAAAAATTAAACAAAATTTGTACTTTAAAAGTTTATCAACATATTTTTTTTTAAATAATTTGCAAGTTTAAAATCTATTTAGCACCTTGGCGATTGTAGTTGGCGCGACAGATCACGATACGGAAGTATCCCCAAAAGTTTTAAAACCTTAATCTGCTGCAGTACACTTAGTTACCTTCTAAGCCCATGATTAAGAGTCTTAATTATGAAACAATGAGAAGTCGTTTTAAACAAAAAGCATCAAATAAGCTTAATTTTAAATAATTTTAATTATTTAACTCAAAAATAACTTAAGATGAATAATCGGAGTAAAAGTTTTCTTCAAATGTTTGCAGGTTTAGCTGCCTATTTCTGTTACCTTTGTTATCAAGATTTGCTTATTTTAGCCCAAACCTAATAACTCAATCAGTACCACTAGTGTTTGAAGAACAAGCAAGGGATAGAAATAGTCAGCCGGAAGCGTATATTAGAATATCTACGCGTCAGAATCATATTTATTTATTTCGCTATTGCTTTAGGAAGAAAGTAAGAAATATTATCAAATCTTAACTCTTGAAGTAAATCTACCAATCAGAATTCTTATCTTTCACGCTTTTGTCAACTAATAATTCAGCAATTTTATCTCTAAATAAATCCATCAATTACTACATTCACTATGCCAATGAGGAAATTAGCCGATGTTTTGCATAAAACAGCTGTGACAGGTTTAATGGGATTGACGGTGATAGCTGCTGGAACATTTTGTGTTCAAGCATTTAAGTACGTAAATAAAGTGAGAACTACGAAAAAAGAAACGGGTGAAACCTCGCACTCTTCTGAGGAACTAGCCAATTAGGTAAACCCAGTGAAATCTAGTTTGTTATCGAATGACCATTAATTATTATTCGGCCTTCAGATATTTATCATTAAACAATTTTCTGAAGGTGACTTCTTTAAAATTTCGTTCGCCACTTAAAAGCTAAGCAATAATTATACCATAGTGAATTATTTATTTACAATACTATTGAGTTTTAAATATAAATTTGTATTTACTCTAAACTTTTTGCTGGATAAAATTTTTTTTCAATGTGATGTTTCTAAAGCTTATATTTGTTTATTTACAATTGTTTTTTAAGATAGCTTGTTTATTATTCTATTGTGTGGAATGTATTTATCATTGGCTAAGTACAGTATTGCATTTTTGTCTGAAAATTCTTTAAATAATATTTCTATTTAAAAAAAAATTATTAATTTATTTTGATACCATTATATTTTTTTAATGTGATTTGTTTTTAATCGTTTATTTTCTTTTTTTTTTTCTCAGCATTTTACTGTGAGATTTTAGTTCAGTTTAAAATAACTAAGATTTCAGTGACTGTCGAAAGATTTCCGTATCCTCTTCTGCGGTAGAGTAATTGCCAGATCTTGGCAACTATCGGGCAGTGACCCGCGAGGAAGCAAGAGAAATATCTTAGAACGGGACCAACTCAAAGGGTATAACTCATTGCCACCTCCGTCAAATCTCTACCTGTTTTTTAGAAAAATTACAAGTTTAAAGCCCATTTAGTTTTAGGCGGTTATAGTTGGTGCTGCAGATCATGATACGTAAATATACCTGTCACTGTAAATTACATTTTTATTAGAGCATTAATGCTATAATTGCATAGATTATAACATTATAGGTATTATATTTTAAACTTTTATTTGTGAAAAAGTATTAATAAAATTATACTTTTTTTACATTAACTTTCCAATAATAGTAAGTTTTTTTTATAAATTCGTTATAAGTTATCCAAAATGCTATCTATCTCTTAAGTTTAGTATAAAATATAGTTTGATTATTTTGTTGTATAATTATTCAATAATAGCATCTTATAAAAGATTAAAAATTTCCTTTTTAAAAGTAAACTAATTTTTAAACTTATATTTCAAGCTGTTTGTTTGTTGTTCCTTAACAATTAAATAATTATTCTTTATACTTTGAGAAACAATTAGCTAATAGTTTCTTTAAAAGGATCGAGAGAAATAACGATTGAGGACTTAGAAAATAATTCGTTAATTATTCATTACATATTAGAGATCATGCAATGACTATCTTTTATAAAATTTAACAAAAAACAGAAACAAGCTTTATGGTTTAAAAATTCCCATAAATTCCTTATATAACTTACGTCCAAAAAGATTAAGCTGGCCTCAAATTTAATAAAATCTCTCAGAACATTGAAAAAAATCAAAAAACAATTTAAGAAATTTCCGAAGACTTATATGTTTTTTTTGTTGTTTTTTTGTTTTGTTTTTTTTTTGGCTTTAACATTAATTTCAGAAATCATTCCACTTGTTTATTTTTCCTAACAAGATATATTTTCTTTAAATAAATAAAATTTAGTAAAAGAAGGCAGAAAATGTTCAATCGCACAAGCGAGTTACGAAAGTAATTAAACAGCTCGAGAAAAAATTTTGGTCTTTAATTAAAGAAATTGCTACAAAAATTTTTATTAAAAATAAATTGCTTCTTTATAAAGTAAAGAAGGCTTTTTATGTCAATTTTATGTGTTTGAATTTCTTGAGCAGAACTTTAAATCTAATTTAATAAAATATTAATATTTTAATTTTTAACGCGTGCTACTTTTTCGTTATTTGTGTGAAATCAATTTTTTTTTTCCTTTCTTAAGGAAATCAAAAAATTTTACCAAAATATAATCTTTACTTTCAAAAAAATATTTCGAAAAGGCACTTTAATTTTATGAAAATTTCGAACTAAAAAATACTGTTTTGAGCGTATATTAGTGAAAATACACCTCTAGTTGTAAATATGTTATAACATGTACGGGTGTTCAATAAATTAGCATGTAAATTTCCAAATTAAAATTTCTGAGACATGACTAAAAGTATTTTGTTATTTACAGTAAAAGTAACATTATTTACAAGATACTTATAACAAGTGGGCTGGTATATTTCTCCTTTTTTTTATATAGAATTTTTAATCTTTTCTTAATGCTAGTTCAAGCCGCAAGTTGAGCATCTATAAAAAATTTCCGCACTCTTTAAAAGGTTTCAAAAGTGGTTCGAATTTGTGCATGGTTAAAAAAATTTGACAGTTTCAATCCTGTGTAGAAAATTTTCCAATCGATTTAAGATTTAGAGAGCTTAAATATCATTCATCTTATAACAGGTAATCAGAAATAATGAAATAAAAATTGGCAATTCTTTGAGAATGTGAACCAGTCTGCGGCAGACTACTATATTGCTCATAGTAATAACATTTTACTTCTTTTATATACTTTTGAGATTAAGCAGAAGTTTTCCCAAAATATCTTTTATCTTTTTATAGACTTCAGCACAAGTTTTAACTCAATTTTAAAATATTGCCTAGTTTATTTTTTATTTATTAGCATCTATTTTTTTATTGAATGGTTTAGCTTGGCTACAAAGGAACCATATTTTATGTGTTATGGGGTTATTTCAGAAAAAAAAATTCTCAGAAAAGAAGGCAATCTCGCCTCTAGCATACTGAGTGAATTCTATTGCTTCTTTTCATTCTCTTCTTTAGAAGAAATTATATTCTGTGCATTTTTGTTATATCAACTTTACATCCATTCATATAAGATTTTAATACATCCTAAACTTCTATGTTATAAAAAAAATAACTAAAATTTTTTGTTTTATTACCATGTTATTACTATATGGTAATATATACTACTATAATAAATACTACTATAATAAATACTATATGGTAATTTATATAAACATCCTGTGTATTCTTTATTTTGATACTGTTTTTTCTTTTCTTAGACCATATGATATTCTCTTGTTTCTAAGGCCCATTTTCCTGAAGAACAAAATTGTAATTTCTGGCTTTATTTTGTATCATTTTTAAAAAAAGATTTTTTTGCTCTATCTTCTTATATAGATTCTTCTATACCTCTTACTGTTTTTATCTCATTGAAATGTTGAGATGTAAATATTGTTTGTTTTTCATAAGCCTGGTTAACTTTACATTTCTACACATTGTTTTTGCTTTGTAATTATATACAGGGTTTGTATTTTTTTTTTTTTTTTTTTAAATTTTACTTGATTTGAACCAGCTTTTATAAAAGTATTCAAAAGTCTCAACTTGTAATTAGTAAAATTTTATTAATATAATTGTTATAGAAATGTTAAAATTGTTTAATTCATGCAGATGTATGAATCAAAGTTATTAAAAATAACATAGAAATGTATCAATATTATCTACTGAGAAGCAGATTTAAAAAGATCTTAATTTTTATTGTTAAGGTTAACTTAGAGAATTAGTCATCAATAACTGCATTAAATTTCCACGATATTCTGGTAAAATAACTGAAAAATCCACAAGAATTATAAGATTTTTAAAATTTCACTTCAATACTAGTGTTGTAATTTATTTCATGCTGAGTAGTAATGTAATTTTTACAGTTAAAACCTATTAGCAAAGCATTATATTAACATTAGATTTTAAAACTATGAAAATCAACAAAAAGTTAATCAATCTCATATAAAAGTTTTGTAAATCCATTTTCTCCAACAAAAAAAAAATTTTTTAAATTACCTGATAATAAATTAGGATGATTCTAAATCACAGATGAAAACCTAATGTGACATATGATGTCACCCATTTTTATTTGTACTTTCACTCTAGAGCTTAAGGATTTTGGTCTGTTTTTGTACTTTAAACTATTTTTCTGTCTTAATTTCTTACTTCTGAACAAAATAATAAACAAAAGAGTAATAACTTCTAAACAAAAAAAGGAAAATAATAACTTCTGAACAACATAATGACTATCTTTTTTATTTTAAATTATGATGTATTTAGTATAATTATATTTTATTGACACTAAAGATAAAAATCCTTAAATTATGTTTATTTCAGGAAATATGGCCTACTTGATAACAAGAAACCTTTGGAGACCTTTTATCAATGTGCAAAATAAAATCCTAGGACATTATTTTTGTACAAATCCTAAAGGAAGAACATGGAAAGTTTTGAAAGTAAATCATCTTGCTGTTGCATCTGCTAATATCGAGAAAAGTGTTAAACTTTTTCAAGATATATTTGGTGCTAAGGTAATATACTGTAAATTAGAATACTAAATTTATCTATTATGTAGAGAAAAAAACTGATAATAAAAATATTTCAAGTGTTTTTTTTTTTCCAATGCTTTGTATTACGTCCCTTCATTGATATTTTTCTTTGTTATTCCATTTTTCTTTAAATTTATTTCGACAAAATTAAAAACAATTGAAATAAATAAATTTTTAGCATTAATTTTTTTTTTCAACTTACATTATTATGTGTTTCTAGAGTAGAGAGAGAGTTTGTCTTCAATTAGTTTTTAGATTTAATATTTTAATCCTTAAAATGTTCACTTCAAATCAGAACTCAAAGTATTTTTAACCTCTTAATGTGCACATTAAAAAAAAGAGAAAAAATCAGACAAAAAAACTTTTTTATTGAAAAATATTTTTTATAACTAATTTTGTTATTTTCAATTCTTGATTATATTAGAGTGTGAAAATTATCGCAGCATGAAATACGACCTTGCTTGAATTATCTTGAGTCTATTCCGTTTGACCTGTTTAGCATGCTTAAATTATCTCAAAGACACCCACTAAGGGGTTCATCTGCTTTTATCAGAACCACATTCTAATATGACAAAAATGAAAGATTGCCTCTTGATTATATGCATTTAAATTTTTTTTCAACCCTGTATATTCAGTTCAGATATTAAGAGCGATAACTTTTTTATTAAATTTTAATATCTTTTCATAACTTTACATTTATATTTAAACTAATGTTAATCTAATGCAGGATTATGTTGAATATTGATGCTGATTATAATATTGTTTACAATTTCTTTCTAAAATTTTTAACAGCTTCTTTTATTATAAAGGCTCAGATTTTGATGACATATGCATTTTTGGATTCTTTTACACTTTTAAACCTAGACTTTTCTGAGATTTTGGGATAATTTTTTAATTGTGAGGCATTTTTTGAGATTTTTTTTTGGGGAGGGGGGATTTTTAACTTTTTTATTTTAGAGCATTTTTTGTTTTAAAAAAAAAAAATAAAATCTTTAGAAGCATTAACTCATTCTTACAACTTTTACACATTTTAACTAAGTTATATTAGGAAGGATATCATCCAGGAAAAAGACCACCATTGAAAGGAGCGATTGATAAAGATAAAAATATGTTATATTAAATTCTAGGAAGTAAATGTTTCAAATTTTAAGTTCTTATTTAATTACAATGGAATTTTATTATTTTATAATTACATTTTTTATCATTATTATTATAGTTTTGCCTTATTTTTAAGGATATTTTTAAAAACAATTTTGATCATTAAAATCCGGGTCCTACTTATTTATTTTTTTGGAATTTACTGATCTACTACTTGATACGTAAACCAGGTATGGTAATGTTCAATATAAAAACAGTTGTAATATTTTTATTATCAATTCTTCATCTCTTTAGACTAGTCAGTCTATTCCTATGCCAGAACATGGAGTTACAACTGCCTTTGTTGAGTTAGGCAATGTCAAATTGGAACTGCTTCTTCCTCTTGGAGAAAAAAGTCCCATTCAGAGCTTCTTACAAAAGAATGGCAACGGTGGAATGCATCACATTTGTTTGGATGTTGATAATATTGACAATGCTGTGAAAGACATGAAGGCGCATAACATTCGTACCTTGACTGAGGAAACTAAAATAGGTGCCCATGGTAAACCTGTCATATTTCTTCATCCCAAAGATTGTGGTGGTGTTCTTATCGAACTTCAGCAAGTTTAAGCTTTCATTGTATTTCTTTCCAGGAATCTCAAATGTGTCATTGTGTTTATTTTTTAACAAAATAAATTTTATGGTAAATAAATTTTTTATAATAAATAAATTTTTTATAATAAATAAATATTTCTTTGATAATAATTATTTTTGATTTTTTTATGAATATATCCCTAATTTTATAACTTGTTCTACGTTACCTGAAGAAAATCTTATGTTCATGTAAAATTTATTGTAATACTTTTTTATAGAGTATATACGTTTATAAAATTATTTTTATATAAATACAATAGAAATTGTAATATAGAATAGGTAAATCACTTTCATATTCAAGACAATAAGTAACAGTACAAACTGTAACTCTTTTTAAATTAAGTTATATATTAAAAATTAATGATCTAAAGAAATATTAGTTATATGTGATGTAGCTTTGAGATTAACATTACAAACTTATTAAATTTAATCTAGTCAAGATAGTGTATGCATAGTCAATTTTACCCAAAAATAATTTCTATTTTATCAGACATCTTTATTTCAATTTATTTAAAACAATATTTGTTCTAAAAAGAGTTGGTATTGTTTTGATTCAGTTTTTTAAGAATGCCTACTTTTTATATTTTTACTAGCTGAATTCCTATTTTCTCTATGTAGTGAGAAAAAGGAATCAATAAATCAAAATCAGTACTCAACGCTATGTAAATAAATACACATAACTAAGAGACAAATGCCGACACAATTAATAAACCTAAAACACTTCAATATCTTTTTATTATTATTCCTTGCCCTTTCCAGTAACTTTACGTTATTAGATTTGATTTTATATCCGTCACTGAACAGCCGACCGAATTCTGAGTTTTTGTCTGCCAGTGCTCAACTCCATAGCCTTGTACTTTTCAACCCAATCAAGAAGATAAGGGCACTTCTTTATTGAGTATTGGGAGAAATTTTTCTCCGGGGAGGGTATTTTGTTACATGAAGAGGAAAATCACGAAAGTCTCCCACTGTTAGTACAAGGTCAATAGAACTCTGACCCATGATCCATCTACCACTGAGGATATTTTATGGCAGCACTGTGGTCAGTATGAGCAGTGTGCATAATTCTTATCGATCAGCCATCATTGGAATTCAAACCCTGATCCCCCTGATTGGAAGGAATATGCTCTATCCCCTGAGCTAACACAGCTCTAAAAAGTAAACCGTAGAGGTGGGAGGTCTTTCATCTGCAAAGTTTTCATGATTTTCCTGTTCATGTATCCATGTAACGCAAATGTGGGTTAGTTCCTTCAAAGAAGTCCACGAAGGCAAATTACTCCCAATACTTTATCCGGGAGTTCCCTTGTGTTCTGGATAAGGTTCGAAATTACAAGGCCCCGGAGTGGAACATTGGTAGTCGTAAACTCAAAATTGTGTCCCAATTCAAAGATGGTGATATGATAAAATTAGCACATATTTCGAAAATCATTGTCGTCATTAATGTTCTCCTAAACGAATTCGTATTATTTCTCCATTAATTTTACTTTACAGTTCATATTTTTTATTTCATTTACCGTTGATTTTAAATTGTTTTATAGAAACGCGTTTTAAAAACATAAATGTAGGTACTCTTTAGGAATACTAATTTAATAACGTGTGTCTGCCTATGCTTTCACGTACATGTTGATCAGTAAGTTTATCTCACATCATAAAAATAAATTGAATCTTGGGCGATCTCTAAGTCAATGAAAAAATCCATTTTTTATTTTATTCTCTCCCGATCAATCCAATTGAAATTTTTGAATAATTTTTTGATCTGAAGCTGAAATTGCACGTTTCACCCACTGTCCAAATTTCGGGCCGCTTGCTCAAGCAGCTCTGGAATTATAAGAGAGAAACCCTTCAACAAAAAAAATTTCCTTTTTTTTTTTTTCTTTCTAGATTTTCAAATATTTACTACAAATAAAAAGTGTTTGAATATGCTGCTTAAATTATGTCAACTTTATACATTTTTGAAGAGAAAAAACATATTAATGATATAAAATATAAATAAAAAAACAATTTAAAATATTCTTAAAAAGATATTCTGGAAATTTTCAAACGATTACCTTTATTTAAAAATTTTTGCTTCGAATGTAAAGTCTCAGAGTCTTTAAAATCTATATAATTAAACATTAGCTAATAATGTTACTTTAACATTACCTAAAGTTTTTTTTTTTATTATTATTAACTAATTTGTTTAGCATTAATAAAGAAATACAAAATTGGTATATCTGTGTCTTACATGAACTAATTGTTAGGATTCCAAGAGTTCAAACATTTTCTTAAATCAATAACGATTTTGAAGCAGGTAATTATATCGCTCATGGGCTGCAATAGCGGCACAACTCAAAAAATCATTTTTGAGATAAGTGGGTTTAAAGTTTTCATTGCTAAGGAAAATGCATAAGAAATGCTTTAGTTTGCTTAAACAAAGACTACCTTCAAGTTGAATTATGAGTTGTGCTAGTATTGCTGCTGAAAAGAATGTATTTTCATATTTACACCTGTTCTTAGTCCAAAGCGCTTGTTTTTTGAGTTGTGCCACTATTGCAGCCCATGAGCGATATTTATATCCAATCATTATTTATTTAAAATTTCGGTTATTTTTATGAAATTATTCGAACAAAATATCGGTGCAAAAAAAAAAAAATAATAATAATAATATATTTAACCATAGATAAGTAAAAATTCGTCTAATAGACCATCGACTCCTGTTAGTTTTGCGAATTCGTTATATTCCCGTTACCCTCACATTACCTCAAGCACAGTACCTTGCTAATTTGCAAAATGAATTATCCGAATCACAGCTGTACATTTGTTACTGTTTTAAGATTTGCTGTAATCGTCGTTTAACAGTGGAATGTTTAGTTACACTCAAAATAAACATATGTTTTGAATGTTGAAAAACCCACAAAAGACACGACTTAAAGTGAGGTTAACAAACGCAGAATTTTATGTTCTATAACTGGCAATGAACAGTCGACAAAATTTTGCGCTAACGACTATTAATGTTCAACGCTGTAGCCTTTTAATTTTGAACCCAAGCTAGAAGACAAGTGAACTCCTTCATCGGACAAAGCCTTCGTGGAGGACTTTTTCATAGAACTAACCTGCATTTGCGTTACATGAAAAGTAAAACTTTCAACGATTAGCCCGACGGCAAGGGAATTCGATCCCATGATCCTTCTAATACTGAGGATATTTTATGTCCGCACCGAGGTCGGTGCAAGTCAGGAGCAGAATTCTTAACAACCAGTCACTGCTAAGATTCGAGTATGACTCACTTCACTGAGAGGCTCTACTCCCTGAGCCAACGCGATTCGGCCGCAGAATTTTATTTTATAACCGTTGTTGAGCAGCCGACCGAATTTTTGGGTTTACGACTGCTAATGTTCAAATCCGTAGCCTTGTAATTTTGAACCCAATCCAGAAGTCAAGGGAACTCCTGGATAAAGTATTTAGAGATATATGCCTTCGTGGAGAACTTTTTGAGGGAACTGACCCGCATTCGCATTAGGTGGAGGGAAAAACCTCCCATGGTTAGCCTGAGGGCAAGGGGACTCTAACCCATGATCCGTCTACCACTGAGGATATTTCACGTCAGCACTTTGGTCCGTGCAAGCCGGATGCGGAATTCGTATCTACCAGCCATCGCCGAGATCGAACCCCTGTTCTCCTCATTGGAAGGCGAACGCTCTATCCCCTAAGCCATCGCGACTCAAACGCAGAATTTGTGTTTTCTGTCCATTTAAGATAACAAAATGCATTTACAATAAGGCTATTTATGGAGAGCACACTGTTAACATCTGCCAAGAGATCAAGCTATAATTTTTTCCAAATTTCTCGTTTATAATTAAAATATTATAATAAGATAAGCTTTTTCTATTCAAATAAATTAAGGGAATAAAAAATATACTTGTTTTTAATTCGTTGTCTAATTTTCGAATAATTATAGATTAACACTGAAATGAGCTTAATTATCTAAGGTTAAAAATTTAAAAAGTAATGATAATAATAATTGCATCAGTATTTTCTGTAATATTTCTCGCATTTAGATTGTTAAAAATATAGTTTAAAATTTACATGATGTTTAATGCAGTCTTGTAATCAATATAGTTACCGAGCTTAAAAAATTTCAAATGTTTTGACAATCAAGACAGAAACTAACGTTCGTCCTACTCTTAAGACTCACCTGCATGGTAGGGCGTTGGACTCATGTCCAAAAGATAGTGAGTTCGATCCCCACCGGCCGAAGATTCTCCGTGTAAGAAATGGTGACTGGTGCACGTTAAATCTCTTAGTGCGTCAAAAGGTCCTCCATGGTCTCTCTGATGTTACTGAATTGGAGATTAGTTATTCTCTGGTTCAGGTCAAAATTACGATCTGTGGATGTATGAATGGGTCCACCCTATAAATGAGTTGTGACGTGTGTGCGTCTGTTGCTGAAGTCGTATTCTTGGCTATAGATGGCGCCACTGAAAAACAAGAAACACACTCTCGGCCTTAAATTCGCTTGATTTCACCATAGGCTTGCTGGGTGGTAAGTAGCATTAGAAACAACAACACTCTTATTCTCAAGCTAATACCTAATGTTGCCATTAGTAAAGAGTTCGGCTATGCGAATTTTTACGTTTTAGGAGTCAATCTTAACGGTTTGAGGTTGTGACTTTAAACATGCTAATTAATTAGTGCAGACGATATTTTGAATTACGAAATCAGACAGAAATGTACTTTCTTTGAATTAACAAGCCTTTTTATACGGATTTCTGACCTCCCCCCCTCCTATAAAGGCAATGGCCCCCATCCCCCCAAGCTCTTGGGCGCATTCACAATTCGCGTCCAAATTCCCCCCCCCCCCCAAACTATTCGTTTTATTAAGTGTAAAAATCCCCCCCCCACACCCAAGCTTTAAGTGGGAGCATCGTGCGCCCACCTTCCCCCCTGATAGGGACCCCTGCATAAAGGGGGTAGCTATGTGAGATACATGGTCCCAAGTTTTGTCAGAAGAGCGGTCTGAAGTTTGGACCCTTAATGTGAACTCTACTAATTGATTATTCGCCATAAGAAGTCGTATTTTTAAAAATTCGATTTCTCAGTCATTTTCAGATTTTGCCATGAAAAAGAATTTTTATGGCAAGAAGAAGATAAATGAATTTCATAATTGATAACAAAAAATTTTCCATTTGCTTTAAAAGTTCTCGAGTTCTTGCTTAATTCGCAAAAAATAAAATTAACATTAAAGGGTTCAACTTTGGGCTGCTCTCCTGATCAAACTTAGGACTATATTTCTTAGATAGCGGGCTACCACCACCTATACTATCGCAGTGAGAAATCCGAATCTGTCATAAAAAAGAAGTATGTTTATTCAGAGAAAGAACGGTTTTTATTAATCTGATTTTGCAATTTAAAATATCGTTAACACTAACTAATTAGCATATTTGATGTCACCTCTTAAACGATAAAGATTGAGTCCTAGAACGGGAAAATCTTAGCATTATTTATTTTTTTATATTCGCACTGTACTTGATATCTCTTTACAGTGCGTCTTTAAAAAACTTTTTGCCTACAGTAAACAAAAGCAGTCAACTTTAGATATTTTAAATCTCTAGGGACCGAGGTAAATCAGTCCATTTTTTTCTTTTAGTCTTTCTCATTAAACTTAGAGGAACGGCAGCTCCAAAGAACAGGGCACATCGACCAGAGGTCCATTGTACCCAAACCATGATTAACAAAAAAGCAAGTCGTGAAGTCTCCTCAAGATGACAACCTCGACAAAGAGTATCAGATTCAACACCCATTATGTATAGGTGTCTCCTGAGGATGTAGTGTCCAGTTAATCTGTCTCTGTCCATTCGAGTTGCGCCATTGCTCATGGGCAATTTTGCCATAGAGCTTGAAAATAGATGCTCTGAATGATGTGGGAGAGATTCTCAAAGCTGGTTCAGGGCCCCAGAAAATAGTACTGGTGCCAGCCCGTGCTGCTCTGACAGCCAGCTCAAGGTTTTCTCATTGCTGTTGTAGTTCATTTACGTCGCACTATAGCTGTACAATGGGCTATTGGTGACGGTCTGGGAAACATCCCTGAGGATGATCCGAGGACATGCCATCACAATTTTGATCCTCTGCAGAGGCACCTCCTCTTCGGTAGCCCGATGAACTGCACGCGAAGTTGATCACTTTACTGAAGAACAGTTTAACGAGAGCCGATATCGCGCACTCTCGGTCCCTACGCAGGCTGACCAAAGTGGTCACCCATCCACACACTGACAGCAGCCAGTGATGCTTGACTTTGGTGCTCTACTCTGAACCGTGATTTTACGATCAGTTCACTGCGGGATGGAGAGGAATTAATGTTGTTAACAAGGAAATCAGCATTAAAATGAATAAAACAAGATTAAGGAGCATTTGATGCCCTGGAATCTTATGCTACCCTTGTTAACGACACTAGTTCCTCCCAAGCTCTTCATAGCGCGTGGAAATGCCTTTTACCCTGATTTTCCTCTCGGCGGCTGTGTTTTTCTTTTTTTTCGTTCTTTACTTCTGTATTTTTTACCTAGTCTTATAGCTACCGCTTATCTAGTTACCTTTATTGTACCGTTTTTCTATAGCAACTTTGCATTTTGATTTCAAAAATTTTTGTTATTATTAATATTATAATTTTTTTTACACGCTCGTCTGGAAAATCTTAAAAATGGGCGCCTATTTTTGAAACGCTTGAAATATGTCCACTGTTTTATCTCATATTTGCATATTTTCGAAACGAATGAAGTTTTCAAACAGGTAATGTCTTGCCGCTTCAGTTTACTGGGATTATTTACTTAATATTGCTGTATTTCATTCTCCCTACTTTCAAAATCTATTATATGCTTACTTATATTTCAAAAGTCGTGATAAGTTTCACCAACTTCATGAATTTTTAAATGTCGATGACAATTTTTTTCCAACTATAATTTGTGCTGCCGTCTGATAATATCATCAAAGAATTAAAGAAAAAGAAGGGTTTTCGCTAGATAATTATGGGTGACATGGTTAGCTCGGGGTCAAAAAGAGAGGCTAACACTAGGGAGCTATTTTCTTTCGTGCGTTATGTGTTCGTTCATTTTACTATTTCTCATCCTGTTTATTTATATTTATTAACACAGAAATTATAAATTTGGTTATTTATAAGCACAGAATATCTAGTTAATTTGCTGAATTCCTACCGCTTTTCCCCCAGAAAAAAATGGTCTTAGAAATCAAATTAAGTTTAGGTAATTAGCTAAATATATATTTTTTTTTTATCAAATCAATCGCAATTCCAAGAATATGGATTGTGTTCTGCTTATTCTACTAGGTGATATTTCAAACAGATAATTTTGTTTTCAATAAAGGAAATAAATTATATCATTTCTGAGCTCAAATCTGCTGTATTTCATTAGATATGTGGCGTAACTGCCTCTACAATTTTTAAATACCAATTCACTAGTACATAAGACATGTGAACTCGATTCTATATTGGGGTACCTTTTTGATAGAAGATGGTGGGTATATTCAGCATTCTAGCCTCATCAGATATTTGTTGAATTTGAAGCGAAAATTCATTTTAGTTTATAGATATATTATTAGAAAACATGACATGGTTGCTAGATTTAGAAAGAGCTCACTTTTTTTACTGTCCTGATTTGGCCTCTTTCTCTTGTTTGTTCTCGTTGCCAGCGACTGCATATAGTTGCGTTTTATTTAGCTATCACATTTTATAACTATGCTCTCAAAGCAATATAAAAGCTTTTAAAAGTTAAACTCGTTGGACAGAAATTTAGTTCTTGCTATTTTTATAAGCAAAAAGAAAACCGTGCTACGTCGTTTCAAGCGTTGTCGATGTTGATATTCGTTTGCTCTTGGAGTTTGGCATCCATTCAGCTTACACCTAGATGCAAACAAGCTCTCTCCATACGGATAATGTCTTTTTCTTAACTTGTAATAGAGTATAGTATTGTGCAGCTTTGGGGAGAACCCCGCCAGACTAAAAGTCTGGGACTGTCGCCTGCTATGGTAACAAGCGAAAACCCATTTCTAATGGGGGTGCAATGGAGGAATGAAGGTATCGATTGGTTTACTCACGCTGACATATGCCAAGATCACGACAAAGCTATTCACACCATACTCCTATTCGAAATTATTTTTTCTCGTAGCCATGGTATCCGTCACGACACGACACTAATGTCAGGAGGATTTCTCCTGAAAGCCGCATCATAAAAGCATTCGAACAATTAACGTATTGTCCGCAAGAAAATATTTATGTTCTGTTTGCAACTGTTGTCTGCTATACTTCTGTAGAATGCTGAGCTTACGAATCCTTATAATAAAACCATATTATTGCATATACATTTGCTGTAACCAAATTTAGTACGGGAGTAATTCTGATACATCGTATTTTTCTACAGTTATCTTTGAATTTTATTCATTGTAATTTTATTGAATTTAAAAAAAATCAATGTAATTCTTTATTTCGAATTCTGTATTTATTTAATTATCATATTAATTTAGTTAAAATAGTTTTCGGAATTAGATTTCTGAATTTTCAAGCCCATCTCCAATGCGAATCCCATCTCCAATCTTTAACAAACTTTCTCTGTCCCGAAGGCCCAAAAGTGCCCATTTATTAAGGTTTCTCTGAGTTAAAATTCTGCCCATAAGTAAAAAATGTCTGGTCGAAACGGTCATTCCAACTTGATTATTAAGAAACTAAAAGAATACTTGGACAGCAAAATGACATATATGAATAATTTTAAGATTTGCTATAATTCTGGATATGGTTGCGTCGAATATAAAGTAGTGTTACCCGGTAAAATTGGCAGGGTCTGGATTCCCGCCATAGAGTCTTAAATCTAAAAAACAGGTCCAAGAACCTGGTATCAAATAATAATTTTCTTTTTTGTCTGGTTCAGCTTATAAAAATTTGGCTGGGTAAGCCGGGTTCTAACTAGAAATTGTTCTAACTTTCTGTTTTAAACAATGTAAATATGAAATTAAAAGTAGTATATTTTATTATTCTTTTGCGAAAAGACATTCTTTTACTATATATAGTAATACTAAAAATACTAGTAAAAAAAGTGCTCTTAAGTATACTTAAGAGCACTTTTTTTCTTAAAAAGTTTCTCTCTTGCTCGTTTTGAATGCAGTCTGGTATATTTGTGCTCGATTCCAAAATGTTCCGATTTTTGTTGAAAAATGTTATCCTGATATTCCCACTAACAGACTTCAAATGACCAACCTTCAAATATTGTAATGCTAAATATGTGGAGAGGGTCAGAATAGCGCATCGGCCATCTTTACTTCCCAGACTAACTAGTATCTGAGTGAAGCTCAAACCTCCACTAGATATAAAAATCTGGATAACTGGCCAGGGATACACGTTGAAAATTTCAGTAGAAATTATGAAAACTTCAGTGAAACTATGCTAGCCTATGGAAGTGTTTATTTTATTTTGTTCGTTGTATTCTCTCCTTTTACTTTCGGTGGCTTCTTCTGCTTCTTGTAATACTGAGTTTTACATTCAGTCTAATCAAATGACTTCTTGGATGAAGAAATCTTTGAGACCATTAAATAATAAAAAAAATGTACCGTTTCTTTCTTTTTCATTATTGAATATTTTAAATCGCTCTCAGATGGGGGGCGGGGTGCCTTTCGCCTGTTTGTGATTATCAAGCTCTGGGTTCAATTTCATTTCATTTCTCAGTATTGCATGGAAAATGGCAAAAAACCCTAAAACTGTTCATGCCGGAAGGAATATACTTTAATTAAAAATTTTTAATAAATAAATATAAATAAATTAACAAAATAACAATGCAAGTTATAAATAGTGTACTTTTTAACGGCAACCGTGAGAGCCTTTAACAATTTAAACTGCGAAGAAACAACTAGCGGGAGCGGAGTTACGTCCATTATTCTAATAATTTTGCTATTATTAATTATCTTTCTTTAACGAATTCCATTAAAATCCAATTTCTTACAAGAAAATGGAAAAACGGATTGACTTAGAAAGGCGGCTTAAAAGTCCTGACGAAGTAAGAAACTTAATATTTTATGTTGTTGTAAATACAAAAGTGCCAGTTTGGCGCCATTTTGTCAGTATTTGAAATCGCACTTCATAAGTTATTGCTTTACTTTAAGAAACATTTCTAATCTACAATTATCAAAATAATTCTGCTCTTTCTTAAAGACAGTAAATGAAGTTTATAATTTAGACCTTCTTTTTTAAAATTTGTGTAATTAAAGTAGGCTTTGGTGTTAAAAAATGGCCTTGCTTAATGTGAAGACATGTATTCATGTAGATGTACTGATACATGTCCTTTCAACTTCAAAATTTCTCTCTGTTGTTGTTGCCTGTAAATTTCTAAGATTATTTATCCAGAATTAAACTTCGTAATTCAATATTCTTGTAATAAAATCAATTCTTTAAAAACGTTCCGATTGTAATAAAGCACCAAGTAGCATGTAAAAATTGAATTAAAGAAATGTTATTAGTAAAACGGATTAGAGGTTGTGTTTCAAGTTGTCAGTCAAATTAAGATTTTGTACATTGAATTTGTTGGCTGAAACGAAACTAACATCGCTCATACATCACAATCTGTGCTTTAAGGGTTAAAACACGAAAATTTAAAAATAATTTTTATGGATGGCAGATTAAGATCGAATAGTAGAAAAAATAGTGACACATTAATTAGGAAAATTATAATTTATGCCTCATTGTAGTGATCTAACTAAATGCATAAAAATGAAAAATTTATTTGAACTCTTCTTATTTGTTTTAGCCTTCCCTGTCTAGACACATGGCGAACTAGTTTTTTAAAAAGTTATTGCTAAGCTCTTTTTATCTATTAAACTGGATAAGCCAATTCTTTTAAGATACAAAAAAATTTTATTTTAATTCTGCCTTTGACGTACAGTTGTTAATATTAAAAAAAAATTATTTCCAAGATATCCGTGCACCTGGCAAGTCATAAATTTCGGTATTGAACAAAATTTTGTTATGATTTTAACTATTTTTTAAAGAAAATCATGGGAAGTCATAGATTTTGGTCCCTGAATTGGCCTAATTTTTAAAATGGAACCCCCTTCCCAATTTCATGGTGTTCCGAATATCTGAATTTCTAACAAAATCCCCACTCAGTCATTTTTTATTAAAATATTAAATGTTTTAATCATGTTCTTTAAGAATTATGGTGTTATTTCAAAAAATGAGAGTTAAAATATTTTTAGAGCGAATTATCTTTTAAACTTCTATGATTTCAGAATTTTTATTTGATCAATTTAAAATTCTAGCTGAAGCAAGCCAGTCATTGGCAAATTTTTTTATTCCAAAATGAGAACAAAAAAATTAGGAGTATTTCTTTCCTTTCGGATAAAGAAAAGTACAGTAGGGAACCGATTATCCGGAACGATCGGGACCATCGTTATTCCGGATAACTGATTTTTCCGGTTTTCTGAATCGCTACAAAAAGCAGTTTTTTATTGTTAAACCCAACTAATAAAAAGAAAAATTTTTGGAAGTAATCTTAAACAGAAGAAAAAACGAAGTAATACACTAATGATTATTTCCAAAATGATGGTAAGGTAAACATCTTTCAAAAAAGAATGAAAAATCCTAAAATCTTATGAGGAAAAAAAAATTTTTTTTTTTAAATGGCAGAAAATTTATCGAATTTTGTTCCGGTTTTTTGGTTTTCCGGATAACGGGTTCTGTACTCTATCTCTAAATCTCGACAAACTTAATGTACATTTTTATTTTTTCGCACCTATGTGGTATGAAAGTACTAATTTAAGTACTCATAGTTTATTCGATCTTTAATAGACTTTTTTTTAAAAAATATTAAATAATGATTTTATTATTATAAATTGCTCCACTTTTTTTAAAATTTTATTCCATATTTTTATAGTTTTAACAACAAAAAACTTATGAGACGAAAAATTATCTATTTTTATAATTTCTTTTTTATAAAAATGTCTAACTTCATTAATGTAAAAGGTAGGCTTACAAAAATTATGCAATTATTGTATACCGTAGCGAAAGCAATCGAGATACATTATAAGTTTAGTTTATTTTCTGATATTCGATATTAAAAAAAAAGCTTTTTTTCACTCATAGTTTGTTGCTGAGTCTTGCTGCTTGAACCAACTCGCAAAAAAGCACTTAAAGAAAAGTACTTAAGAAAACAGAAGGAAAAAGGTTAATAAAACCTTTTTTCTTCTGTTTTCTTAAGTGCTTTTTTTCTTACATTTGTCTTTATTTTATTAAGAGTAAATATTTATATTTTATAATATGATAGCCTTTGTTTTTAAGAATCATTTTTCATAAAATTAAAAAAAAAAATGTTTTTAGGAAAGGTGCATAGAACAGCTTTGGGTAACTGGTGTTTAATCAGGGCTTAATCGAGGTTTTCAATCCTAGTACCTATTTTTGTGAAAATTTAGTATTGCTAAAAAAAATAATAAAAAAAAACTACATATGTATACAAAAAGTACAATACTATAAAAAAACATTCACATATTGCGCAAGGAATTGCTTATAAGGCAGCTTGCAGATTAATTCCATTTATTAATTCAATCTAAATTATACAGCCAGCTAGCATAGAAATTATGGAATTTACTATACAGATTAATATTATGGCTAAAAATTTGATTTACATAAAGTTTAAAAAATTTTTTAAACTTGCTAATAAAATTTATTGAACTTATTATGATTAAGAAATTATTATTTCGATATTGTGCTAACTTTTACTTTTGAATTAATGGTTGAAAAAATAATAGAAATACAGAATCAGGGTTGGGTTTTTGACGTCAAAAAGTGGTTTTTGACATGACAAGGGTATAATACTGGTTTAAACCGTCAAAAACCCGTCAAAAATGTCAAAAACTGAAGTTTGCCAAGAAAATATATAAACTTCAAAACTACCAACAGTTGCCATGCATTATATTGAAATTTAATTATACTATAGGTAATCAGCAGGTTTTAAAATATTTTTTAATTAAAATTAAGGTAAAATAACAGATTTAAAATCTCAGAAATTTATATTCAAATGCATGTGCAGAAAAATTTTGCACAAAAATTGTTTAAATATTTATATTTAAAAATTTTTTTTTTCTTTTTGATACTTAAGAAAATTAAAAGTTTATTACTATGCATTTTTGACATATAAGGAACATATAACTAATATTTATAAGGAACTTACAAGTTATGTTGTATAAATACAAACTTGATACAAGATACAAGTGTATAAAAATTTTTTTTTAATGTTATACCGAATATCTTTATTATCCAGTATGTTAATTTGAATTTAAAAGTAGTTATATTTATGAATAATGATAAATATAATTCATATTGTTTATTATATTTATTTATAATTATTACACTTATCATTTTAAAACAATTTTTATCTCTTAATTTTTTTTTCTCCACTTGTATTAAGAATACAAATAATGCATATCTTGAAAGCAAGAAGTAATTATTCAACAGCTGAATATTTAGATATTCAACAAAACTATATCGTATTCAGCAAAATGAAATTCACAAGTATTTGGATAAACTAAATTTTCAGCATAGTAAATGAATAGGCTGAATATACTGTAAATCGACACTAACTACTCTGTGTATTTAACAGAAAGCACTTAAATTTGTATTGTCTTATGTTAAAAAGATTATTAAGAAGATTTAAAAGAATATTAAAAAGATTTTTCTTTAAAAGAAGATGTCTAATGTACAAAACTGCTAATGTTTATCTTTAAAAATGTCTAATTTTTAGTATAATCTATACTATACACTAAATTTGGTTATAAATAAATTTCTTAATAATATCACTGCAAATTTTCAATAACACATGAAAATGAATACATAATATTACAAAAGATGTAAGTTTTCAAAAGTACAAGATTTTGGTTACTATTCAAAATATAAGTGTTTCTTCAAAATTTAAAATTAATTTTTTCTAGAACATTTAGAAACACTATCATTTATAAAAAGAAATATAAATTTTATGTATTAATTAAATTTCATATATGAATATAGGTTTTTGACATTTTTGACAGTGAGGTTTTTGACGTGACGGTTTAAACTATGGTTTAAACTGTCAAAAACTGTCACATGTCAAAAACCTGCCAACCCTGTACAGAATACATAGATAAAATTATAATGACCGCTAATAATAACAGCTAGGAAAACTATTCAGCACTTTAATTCCTTCGAACTTTTTATTTTCGTGAAGATGCGTTTTTTTTTTCTTTCTTTTTTCCCGAAGTTTTAAAGTAATTTATTGTAATCTGAATCTCCTGATTTCTGTTATAAGAAGGTAATGCAACCTGCTTTCTTAAAATAAAAAGGTGTAAATTGTATATTTCACAAAGTAATTCTCACTCATCAAAATTAAAGAAAAATTTGAAAAATAATTAAAGGCAAGCTTAGAGACAAACTCTGTTTATAAATGTTCTTAAAAAAATGTAAACTAAAAGAAAAGAATTTATTGATTATGAAGCTTTTTTAAATTAAAAATTATGAAAAAATAAAATGTGCACTTTGAAATAAAAGATATTTAAAAAGTATTAGTAAAATTTAAAATCACTAATTTCATTGATATATCAAAAAAAGATATAGGATACAAAAGATATCCAAATAAAACATTTAAATATCTGTAAGGCTGAATATCATGTGAAATTTAACTATATAACTAGACAATATAAAAAAAGTTATTAAAATGAAGGAATGAAATTAAAAGTCTGAAAGTGAAATAATTTATCAATAACTAAATAAATCAAAAGTGGATATTTCATTATAACAAGTGGTTTAAAAAACACCTTTTTCTTGAAAAAATAAAATAGTGTTTTTAAGAGATAGTGGTTTATTTTTACGAAAAGGGAAAGGACACATTTTTATTAGAATAATACAGCAGACTGGATGGCATTATAAAAACATTGAAATTAATTATGCATTTGTAACTCATTCATGTTATAGGGCTATCAAATAAAAAATCAAAGTTGTCTCATGAAATATTGCTTGGTATAGATAAAATATGATTTGTACTTTCATTCACATTTTCTTGATATACTTTGAAAAGTCAAGGAATTTTTTTTTCTTGAAATTGAGTGGGAACCCTGTATCACTTTCAAATATAAATGAAATATTCTGTGTTTTGTGGCTTGTTGTTTGAAGATGATTGTGTTTCCCTTGCCTATTAATGCTTATTAAAAAATATTTTTTATCAGATGATGTAATTACAATCTTATTTCAGATCAAAGAATTGGTTCTTGATAATTGTCGCAGCACTCAAATTGTAGGTCTTTCGGATGAATTCTGTAACCTTGAGATCCTTAGTCTCATCAATGTGGGTTTGACAAGCTTGAAAGGGTATCCAAAGCTTCCTAATTTGAAAAAAGTAAGATTTTTGTGTTCTTAAGTTTTCAAATGTTAAACAATATAAGAAAAAAAAAATTTGCCAGATTTTTTTGAGTCTAAAACAACAGTTACATTGTGTGTGAATTAAAGTAAATAGATACAAGGTTCGGCTATTAATTTCCAGGACTCGTGGAATAACTCAGAAGAAAATAAAATTAAACACATAGCCATTTAATATTATTCGAAGTAACCCCCATCAGCCATAATGCACGTCTGTGCTCGGCAGTGAAAATTTCGGATCGAAGTTATAAAGTCCTCTTTTGGAATGCTCTTTTTTAATAGTGACGTTACAGTCTTCTTGATGGCTTCGACATCTTGAAATCTTGTCCCCTTCAGAGAATTTTTCAGCTTAGGAAACAGTCTGCGGGTGCTAGGTCTGGAGAGTATGGTGGATGCTGCATTTCAACGACACCATGCTGGGCTAAGAATCGCCTCACAGGCAACGCAATGTGTGGAAGCGAACCTTTTCAATTTCTTCCGGCGTGCGTAACGACTGCGGCCAACATGTGTGTGGATCATATTCCACGCTTTCGCGCTGTCTCAAAAGCGTTTAAACCATTCAAAAGTTCTGGAGCGACATAATGCTTCCTCGCTGTAAACTTCTTTAAATCATTTGTAGGTTTCTGCAGCTGTCTTGCCCAATTTGAAGCAACATTTAATGTTTATTCTTGCTCCATTTTCACTTCGACAATAGGAATTTAAGAGCTATGTTTTAATGCGCCTTTCTATGAGAACCACTTACTTCAGTATGGTGCCGATTGCACTGCACATGCGCAAGAAAACACTCTTCAATATGCAATCATTAGCGCCATCTTCTGGCTTTTCGTTTTCCTACAGTTACGTCAGTCCTGGAAATTAATAGCCGGACCTTGTAATTCTCTGCAAATAGGCTTAAAATGCTGTAATTGAAGAAAATTTCAGTTTTTTCTTTCGAAGATATACAAGTTATTTGTTTGAAGATGTTTTTACTGCTTTATCTCATATGTTTGAAGTATTACTTGAAATATTTTTTATTAATTTTTAAACCAATAAAGTTTTATTCCTTGACTTTTAATTGCAAATTTAGTAAAAAAAATATATTTCTCCCTGAAATACTTATATTTTTGGTTAGATTTTATCTTTTAAAATTAATACTTGTAGTGTTTCTATGCTTTAAGTTCTTTTGATCTTTAAATAGGTCTTTTTAATAAACAGAAGAGTTTTAAACTCATAATTCATATTGTTCTCTCACATGTAGCAATTCAGTGTTTCAGATTGATGGCATTATTTTTTGGATAGAAACAGTGCAATTATAGGTGTTTTAATTTCTTTTTATTGGGATAGTTTAATGCTGTTTTTTGAAGTTTTGTTTCTAATAAAAATAAAGAAAAGCCATAGATTAAGTGCCTTACACTTGAAGCAATGCAATGATTTTAAACTATAATCTTGCTGTGTAAAATTATCAGGGCTTTAGAACAGACAAAAAAGTTATATTTTAAAAGTTAATAAACTTTTGTGAAAATCGTTAAATTTTTTGTGTAAAAATTATTTTTACAGGTTTCTAGTAGGAAAGATTTAAAAATGAATTTGCTTTAGAAGAAAAATTATTAAATTTTCTGTTTAAATTCGTAAAATTTGCTGTAAATAATATTTATCAACATATTATTTATGTGTTTACTCAGAATAAAGTTGTGCTAACTTTAGAAAATACTATCATTGAGAATTTTAATCCTTAAATCCGTACATAATAACTAATAACTATTAACCTACTTTATTTTATTAATAATGAGCTATTTGAAAAATTCACATTTAGCATAATTTTTAACAAATTATTTTTTTAATTTCTTTGTATAGTTGGAGCTTAGTGATAATAGAATATCTGGAGGCTTAAATTATTTAAGTGGCAGTCCTAAATTAGTTACCCTGAACCTCAGTGGTAATAAAATTGCTACTCTGGATGCTTTAGAGCCATTGGTAAGTATTATTTTTTATTGTATTATTAATAAAAAATTTAAAGAATCAAATTGCTTAATTTGTAATTTTATCTTCATGCAGAAAGAATTCAAAAATCTGAAACATCTTGACCTGTTCAACTGTGAAGTTACTACGGTTGATGGCTACAGAGACAAAGTGTTTAGTTTGTTACCCAGTTTACAGTATTTGGATGGCTTTGATCAAAATGAGAAAGAAGCAGATGATTCTGAAGAAGGTATACTTATGCCTTTGTACGATATTTGTACAAAATAAATTATTCATTTTTTTGTGTAATGTCATATCAATTTGTGACCAGATCATATGATTAAATGCATTAACTTTAGTTGCACTACATTTTGACATATTTTTAAAAGTTTTAAATTTCAGGTTAATTATTTTCTCTTAAATTTCATTTAATTAAAAGGTACAATGTTGATTTTAAATTCATAAGGGTGTAGAGCTTAAATAAAATTGGCTATAAGTTTATTTGATTGGTGATTAGTTCTTAGCTATCAAATATAATTTTAAAATTTTTTATGTGAAATAGTGTTTTAGTTTAACTATTAACTGTAAATAAAGCCTTTTAAATACATTTTATTACAGTTTCTACTGGTAAATAGAAAATAAAAAGTTAGATTAAAAAAAATTATTTTTATTTTTGAAAAAAATGTATTTTATTATCAAAAGTAAATTCCAAATATATATATATATANATATATATATATATATACTGATTTCTTCTTAAGAATAAAAAACCCCACAGTGCTTCCTCTCTGAAAAAAGCACTTGGAGTTTTAAAAGGACACTCACTTAACAGTAAAAATTTATCAAAATGTGTAATATTAAGAAGTAATAATTGAAGTTCATTCTCAAAATTTTTTAAATTACCCTCTTGTACTATTTTACATGTATATTTCAAAAAGTAATTCTCTCTTACCGAAATGGGAGAAAAATTTGTAGTTTATGAAAATATTTAAAGGCATGCGAAAAACTAATCTGTATATTTCTTTTTCAAAACAAGTAAGCTAACAAAAAATGATTAATTGTTAAAAAACTGAAATGAATATTTGAGATTTCAACAAATGAATTTTAAGATTTTCATAAAAAAGTATTTGTTTAAAAAAGTTTTGAAATTTAAAATTATTTAAGAAAATTATTATTATTCTCCCCAAAAAACTTTTTTTCCGGGGTTCAATCCTAGCAAAGAAGTAAATATTTGTAATACTGATCTGAATTAAACCTATAAATACAGATAATCTACCAGTGTGCAATTATTATTTAAACAGTGAATAAATTTTTTTCAAAATGGAATATGATTAAAAAGGCAATGTTTTTAAGGGATGGTGGCTTATTTTTTACAAAAAAGCAAAGAGGGTGCATTTATTGGGATTAAAAAGCTGGCAGAGTAGGCAGCTCTTAAAAAAACGCATTGGAAGAATACTGTACATAAAATAGATTAGAGTTTTAAATTCAGTACAATTTATTAGCCTAAGACGCATGTTATAGTTACATATATGTATAAAAGTGCTTAATTTATTAATTAGGAATAAAAAATCTTTTGGAAATTTAATTTCCATAATTTCCTTATTCTGTTTACCATTTGTTCTTAGCTTCTGACATTTCCCCCTTTATTTTTTATCTGGCTTCAGCAATATTGAGATAAAACAATGATATAGTTACAATACAATGCTTTGCAAGATTTTTTTAAAACTTGTATTTTAAGAAAAAATAAATTGATAATTTTTTTTTTTAGAGAATGGAACTCATGGTAAATTTGATGGCGATAGTGAGTTAGAAGATGAGGAAGATGAAGGTAAATATTCATTTTCTGTTAAAAGGCAATAACAACAAAATGATTCTTGAAAAGCTTATCTATCTGCAAAAAAAGGCATGGTTTTACAGTGGATTTTTAAACATTGTGTTATCCATAGCAATGATAAATGAGATTGCCGATTTAGTGGCCAAAAAGGGTACATTAACTTAATGAGCATCTTTTTCCAGTATATCTTTTGAAACATTGAACCAGTTTCTCAAAAATACCATGCCTGAAGAATCTGAAATGAATCTAGCACATTTTAGAACAATTCAAAAGTCATAGCAAGACTTAATTATCTCTTGTCCCAAAAAATGGTGCAGACATAAAATGGTGACTGAATTTAGGCTTGCCACTGGTTATAACTTTTTCCAGAAACACTTGCACGGTTTTTACATAGTTTCAAGTCTTATAAGCAGTTCCTTTTATCTATGACAAGTCATGGAATGAAACTATCTCATCTTTTGCCTAGCTTTTACTAAACGTTCTCTTGTGAACTGCTACTAGAGGGCGAGAGGCTTTTTGCATTCATTCTCTGCTTCTGTCTTGTTCTTTTTCCCCCCCTTCTCTATATGCTTTGTATGTTTGGCTGCTGTTGTCTTTTAATCTTGCCATTAGAAATAAAATAATATTCAATAACAATTTCTGGTTTTTAGAAATGTATAATTTTATTTATTCATGTTGCTTTTTTAGATGAAGAAAATGAGGAGGAAGAAGATGAGGATGAAGAGGAAGTAGGATTGGAACATCTGCAAAATTCTATTGATGTGAGTATATAATCAGAATTGTTCTTATTCAAAAAATTGATATTAAAATACATTGGGTTAAATTCAAAAACTAGCAAGGCATTAACCCTTAATAAACATACTTTGAAGGAAAAAAAAGAAAAAACTACTAGTTGTAGTTTTCACATAATGAGGAATCGTAAGTACTTAATTTTAAGTAACTAATATGGCTGTTTTTAAATTGAGAGGACAAAAAAAAAATTATGGGATGATCTAAATAAAATGTTTTGCAAGAGAATCTATTTTAGCTATTAAATTGTTCTCCAATATGCTGAATGATTTTATTTTCTATATCAAATTTCTAGTTAGTATGTTTCATATAAATCTAAACATTGTTATGCATTATCAATGTTGAATATAGCAGTAATATTTATCATTTAGTAGTTGTATATTAAGTGAAGCTGTGAAATGCTAGTTTTTAATTTTTTTGCTTAACAAAATAGTATTTAATTTTCTTATGATTGCGTCGCAAAACAGTTTTTGACTAGTATCGGTATAATCTAACTCAAGTAAGTGGTTATTTCAAGTTAACCACATAGTGAAGTTTTAAAATCACGAAATAAATTTACATTCAGTTTTTCTTATTTGGTTTTAATTATTCAAATATTACCTCTTTGTTTATAGATTTACTGAAATATAAATCTTACAAAATGATGGTTAATATCTTAAGTTATAGATCTTTGTCTGGGTTACTGTAGGTAATTTTTTGGCAGAATAAAAGGTTTCTGATAATGTACATACCAATGATCATTGTAACCAAATTACAATAACTCAAGCTAAAAAGACAATTTTTTTCTGTGCTCATAAGTATTCATAAGTTTAGATTGATTAGTGAATGACTTTGAATAGATTATGTGTATCAATGTTACAAATTTAAGTTGCTTGTGCTGAAATTCGCTTTTTCGTTTTAATTAAGGAAATAAAAATTTTAAACTGTTGCATGACTATTGGAAGTACTTAAGTACTGAAACTGTTTATTATTTAACAAACTCTTGATTTGTTTTTATTGTAGGAGGAATCTGAAGGTGATGATTATGACCCAGATGGTGTGAATGATAGTGATGTAGACATTGAAGATGATGCTGATGAAGAAGTGGAAGAGGGTATAATTTTTCACTTCTTAAACATCATTTTAATTTTATTTAAATGCATGGAGAGTTATTGATGCTCTTTTATCCCTATAGAGAGAATCTGTGCTAGCTATTATGCAGAAGTTAACTTTGTTTCTTTTTTAAATATACTTACATTATTTCATGTGTCATTAAAATGAACAAAGCATGTATATTGCTGTTTTCTTAAGAGAAACTCTAGTTTTGAACTTTTTATGATGGTTGGTCAATTTAGCTTTGATATAAGTATTGAATTTTTTGTGGCAACTGCGACAAAATAAAATACGCGCTTACAGCAAATGTCTAATTTAATTCAGGAAATTTACTGTTTATATTGCTTTCCTTGTTTAAATGCGTGAAAAACTATATAATCTTTACTTATTATTGCAATTAAGTAAATGTAAGCAATCATTGTAATTTTAAAGAGAGAAACTTGTAAGAGGAATTAAAAAAAGCAATAAATTAAAATTTTGCATAGTGTCTGTAGTGCCATAAAACAAGAAAGATGAATCAAAAAGTATTTTAATTTAAATCAGATTGGTTTTTATTGATTTAATGCTGTTAAATACGAAATTGCTGTAACATATTTATAAAAACATTCTTTAAAGTTTTTGAATATAAGAAATGTTTAGACAGTTTTTACAAGTAAAGAAAATGTCTTGCAATAGATCATTCTTATAAATATTTAAGAATGATTTTGTATTGTTACTGGGGCATCTTTCAAGATTCACATTTTGCAGCCAAATTGTTTCATATGATACAAATCAGTTTAATACATTGAAATACAAATAAAAAAATTTCAAATTTTGAATGTAAATATCTTGCGTTTATAGTTTTTACAGGTAAAGAAAATGGACTGCCATAGATCATTTATAATTAATACTTAGGAGTGATCTTGTAATATTGTTACTAGGTCATCTTACAATATTTCAATTAAGACTCAATATTTCTTTAGTTTTTAATGTATGGGGTTATTTTAAAAAGTAGTTTTAATTTGATCAACATGTATAGTATAATATATATATATTTTTTAACTAAGTTAACTTTTTAGTCAAATGCTGTAGAATGACCCTACATTAGTATCTGCTTGTTTTCTTACAAGAAGTTACTCTAATTCCAATTTCACTTGCAAAATTCAAATATTCAGCATATCTGCCAAGTCTCCTGTTTTTTTAACAAAGACAACTATCTCCTGTTTACCTGTATGTTCTCAATTTTCTCTATATTTTTTGAAGAAATTAAAAATAAAATAAATTAAAAATTGGCAATAAAATATCCACTGATGGCAAAAATACTTTTTATTTCTCAACTGATGGTGCTATTGCCAGTTCTGCAGTATGTGTAGTGTTTATAGTTTAAGTAATTAAAAATCATCGTTTAAAAAAATTTTACTTTGCTAACTGTAAGTGCTTATATTTTCAATTTTTTGAGTTTCTGTTTTTGACTAACCTGATTCATTATGCATGATGTTTCAAAACTTTACTCGTAGCCTAAAATATGTCACTAGTAAAATCTCCGTTATTTTATTTCTCCAATGTTGGCAGATATGAGTCAGTAATTAGTTCAAATTTTGTTTATCAGTTCTCATTGCATATCTTGCAGTTAAAAAGCAATTATGTTCTTCCCTCCCTTTGTGAATAGATACCATGCTTTTATTATTTTTACTCTGTGAGTTTTTTATTATTTTTGATTAGCAACTTATTTCATACTATTTAATTGTTTAGACAATCCTCGAGGACAGAAGAGAAAGTTGGACAGCGAAGACTAAGACCAGGAGTTTGAGCAGTACATCGGAACTTGTGTATATATCATCACCATTATTTGGACAGTTTTAATTCTTTGACATGAATGCCTGAATATCACTTAGATTGACGTTTGATTCTTTAATTTTATCTGTATTGGCATTGTATATTTTTTGAGCCATTACATACAATAGTACTGTTTGTTTTTTAACATTCTGTAATGCATGTAGAAAGCTCTCTTCCAGCATTTTTCTTTTATTTACCAGTCTGTATTCAAAGTTTTCTTCCACTTGTAAATTTTATCTCCTAATGTGTTACACTATAGATTTTTCCTTGTTGCTTGTGCTTTGTGTAAAATATTGCAAGTTGTATGTACAACTTAAATTTTAAATAAAATATCTTTTTTAAACATTTGAGATTTCTTTTTCTTGGTTTTGCTCAACAATTTGTGTTCATTGCACGGATTTAACTTGATAAAAATACAGAAATATCAAATGTGATATAAATTTGTAATAAAATTTTTTTTGTTTAGAGATGTTAATCTTTAATTTTTAGAAAGTTTAATATATTAATTGTAAAAACATAACTGAGCCAATTTGAGATTAAAATTGGATGTATAGTAATTTGTGCTGTGAGCAAGTAAATTATCTATTCAGTTCCTAAATTTTTTGATGTAAGCACTAGTCTTCTAAAAACAGGAGGAGTATTATTTAATTTTTTTAGTGCTAAAGTTTTGAAAATTTCAAAAGTCCTGACATCAGTAAGTCAATGTGAAAATTATTTCATGAAATACAAACTTTAGAGGTTGCTGCGCGTGATGGAAATTTTGTCAAGGGTAGCCTATTGATATTTTCAATGCTAATTTTAATATTTTCAATGCACCTTCATAGATTTCAATCACTGATGTTATCAAACTATATTTATTGTGTGAGATTAAAATTTGAATTAGATATTTATTGATAAATAGTTAAAAAACGAGACGTTGCTGTATTTAGGAAAATGTTTCTTCGGTAGTCCTGATTTGGTTCCTTTTACTTGTCCATAACGTGGAACTTTTCAGAAGATGGAAACTTATTTTATATTTGCTTCTCATCTATTTTGTATTAGTAAATTTCGCTTGAAAATGGTATATTCAGGTAATAGTTTCATAACCTTTTCTAATATTTATTATACATTTTTATTACCTGCATTTTTGAATTAATTTATATTAGCTTAATAATTATCATTAGTATGATTAATTTTTCTGCTCATTATCCATTTAATTTTATAGGTAGTCAATCCTTCAATAATGTCTACATATTTAAAAATTAAAAACTTTTTTGTCAAATTATTACGAATTTTCTTTTCAAGTTTTTAAAGACGTGTAGTATATAGGTAACCAATTCCAGTCCACTATCCAAGAACAATGCAACAGCCATGGATTACATCTAGTAAAATGAAAGGGTATCAGTTTAGAAAGAATGAATCAGAGAAAGAATACAAGATAATAAATAAAAGCTGCTTGTGAGTTAATCTCTTAATGGCTGCATAAGTTTGAAGAAAGCGTTCATAAAAGTGCCACTATTTTATTCAAGAAATTTATCTAAAATTAAGTTATGTTTTAATTTTTCGGTTAATTGCAAATATACATGTTTGAAGAGTGCAAACCTTTAGTTTAAAATATACTAAGCACATTACAAATTGTATGGATACTGCCTTCTGGTGTAATTGAGAAATAAACATGATTTTAGGCATAAGAACTAGATTTGTTTTAATCTTTTAGATGTGTTACTTTTAAATACTAGCCTGAAAATATCACGGGCACAAGAAATATCGAAACTTCATCCTGTGATTTTGACGGGGCGAGAAGGAAAGGGATAAGGAATGTAATTAAATTTCTATTATTCAATGTCAATGATAAACACTGGTTAACCCTCACAGTTAACTGTTAGTATGCCATGTTCCAAAACGGAACATAGAATTTGAATTTAATGACCAATTGAATCACAGTTAACTGTTATTTTTCATTTTATTTTTCATGTTATTATTCAATTATTTTTCATACATTTAAAACTTACATTATGAAGTTTATTTTGGTTCTGTTTTCCTATTTGAATTTTAGAAATTTGATATAGTTAGTAAATTTTTATCCTGATTGTAATACAGTTAACCCCAAATCCAATTTTTATAATACATTTTAAAGGGATAATATAATCATCTGTTAGGCATCCAATTCAAAATATTAGTTTTGAACATTGATATTTCAAAGGTTCAATTTTGTTTCAGATTTCAAGTGATTAATCAATAATGGCTATGAGCATTTAATTCAATTTGTATTATGGCACTTACTCAGCTGAGCGGTCAGCGTGCCTGACTGTTAAGCCAGTGGCTGCGGGTTCGAATCCCGCTCAGGGAATGGATGTTTCCCTCTCTGGCGTGTGAATGGGTATCTGTGGCGTGGGTAATGTTGCTCGCCTCTGTGACTTTGGTTCACAGCTGCCCACTGGGTAACGTTAAATGAGCAACACTTACGGCATATTCAGAGGTGAAGAACGAAAGTTCACTGCCTATTCGTTTTTTTTATTTTTAAAAGGCACTTATTCAAGAAAAATAATGATGCTTGAATGGAAAACGTGGGATGAATATGTTTAGAATCAACTTCTTTTGTCATGAATTTGCAAGTGATAATGGCAGAATATTAAGAACGTAATGCAAGATATGCATTTTTTCAAACTTGGTGTTTTTGTCTTTAATAAAAATTCTATCTAACTATTGGCCGAAAATTCTTTCTAATAAAGTGATTGCTTTCAGGGGACTGTTATACTTTTTTGCATAATTTGATTATGATAGTTAAAATTTAACATCAAAGAGATTTTTCAATGAGTTCTAAACAATGGTATTTAATAAATTTTTGCTATTGATAGTTTTTCTTTTCTATTTCCTGTGATTTATTTTACTTCCCAAATAAATTTGTAGTTACCACGTGAGTTAAAGGAATGTGTCATGTTTTTAGTCTTATTTACAAATTTTGCTGGCTTTTAACACCATGTCTAACAGATGCATAACGATACAACAAATATTGACCTTGTTGGAAACATTTTCTTCTTCAGGTTTATAAGATCTAGCTAGACATTTACCAGCTAGAGCCTGATGAACGAGGAGTTTTAATTGATATAAAAAACAAAGCCAAAAAGCCTGTTATTCCATTATATATCTTCAAAATATTGTTTTTGAAGGTAATATTAGAGAAAACTCAAATCCTAGAGTTGAATTCTTACTAATTATTTTATATTTATTTTTTGACATGATATATAACTGCCAACTCTACTGGTTTAATAAAAACTCTCCTGGTTTTTGTACATTTTAGAAAATTCCCTAAAATTGAATAAATTTCCTAAAAAAATCCCCATTGAAATAGAATTTTTTGTACAGATTATTACTTGCTTGAATAGTTAAATAAGTAGTACTGATACACAATAAAGTGAACCTCATTTATGGATATCAGTTTCAAACTTTTTTTGTTCTAAAATTTTCAATTTATTTTTATTCAGAACTTTTTAAATCAATATTTTTTTTTTTTTTTTTTAACTATCTTTGATGAATTAAATGCCCATTAATATTCAAAATTAGGAGCAAACATAATTCATATATTTCAAATATGTTTAATGTCAATTATAAATGGAAAATATTGCAGTTTTTCTATTTTGATGACAATAAAATTCCCTATGTATAAAATACTTAGTTCATTATGCAACAAATATCATGAAATTTATATTATTTCGTAAAATCTACTGGATTTTTACCTATCCATGTTGGCAGCTATGATGATAGAAACTTGTTAAAGTTGAATTTATAGGAAGAAAATAGAAAACATCTGAATTGTCAGCAAAAATTTTGACTAAGTGCAAGGCTGATATATTTTAAATTTATCTTCATGAATTTCAAACATTTAATATGTATATCAAACAAATAATACTCAAGTGATCAATCAAAAGAAGCTATGAACAAATGTAATCAAAATATGCTTATGCTTCATCAAAAATTGATATATAAAACAGCTTCAATTTATAGCATCACATCTAGTTTCCAACTGTTTCTTCGAATAATCAATTTAAAATAATCGTGATTATTTTGGAGCAGGAAAATAAGTTAGCTATATTTTGAAGGCGCATCAACTGTTGTGCTTCATTTTTTTTTAGGTCATAAAATATTTTATTTCAATTCATTTAAAAACATTTGGTACTTTTCAACTAGCAAGGCAAGAAAATTCAATTTTTAAATTTTTTTGTTTTGTTTTATTTTTTGTGAATGTATTTTGTTCAGTGTTTAAAAAAACAGAAAAAAAGTTAGTGGAGGTCAACATCTGTAGGCGACTTTTCGCTTGCATCTGGCTAGCAGAAAAGTATCAAACATTTTTGAGAACAGAAATAATTGTTGCCAAGAGAAAAATTAAGAACTTACAAAATTAATTTCTAAACAAAGCTTTTTAGTTCAATCCATAAAATAAAAGAATCCTTTTTACAAAATTAATTTGGTTAGATTATAAAGCAGTTAATTTGAGGATATTTCCGTATCGTGATCTGTCATGCCAACTACAATCGTCAAGGTACCAAATAGATTTCAAACTTGCAAATTAAAAAAACAAAACATGTAGATGTTTGCCCGGGGGTGGATACATATCACACCTTTTGAGCTGGTCCATTTCTGTGATATCCAACTTGCTGTTGCCAAGACTTGGCGGTTATTCTGCCACAGATCAAGATTCAGAAACCTCCCCGATAATTTTATTATGGTTGCATATGGTATAAATCTGTGCAACACATTTTTTTAAAACCCATAGTAAAAATTTTACTTCCCGGTAAACTTTTTTATAAAATAAGATAGGTACTTAATTTATGTCGTTGTACAATGAACTATTTACGGCAGTCTCGGAAACATTCCTAAGGATGATCTGAAGATATGCCATCAGAATTTTGAAACATCTGCTGAAGGAATGGTTCTTTCACTTTGATTGCCTGACAAAGTGGAACACTTTTTAGTAGAACAGTTTAACGAGAACTGATAACGCTCACTCTCAGTCCCTATGCAGGCTGATCAAAGAGGTCACCTACTCCCTACTGACTTTGATGCAGAGTTCATTCTAGGCAGAGTAAACAGGGCGCAGCAACCTGCGGCCCTTTTCGTCAAAAGAATCCACCCTGTTGCCCCTGAAGTAAATTAGTGCCCTGCCTAACTCCATACCCTTTTTTTCCTCACCCCTTCTTTATTTTTCCCCCAAACTCTACAATGGATTTCTTAAACTTTTGTTATTTTCAACTCTTTTTATTTAGTTTGTCATTGCTAGATTTATATGGGAAAGGAAAAATAGTCATCACACCCCCTTGTTGCATTTGTCTTTGAAAGTTTGCAGTTACTTCCAATATCATTAAATCATAATTATTATTAATCATTTTAATTATTAAATCATAACTACAGACACTTAAAAACATAATTTATTATTTTATTAATATATGCATGCAGTTTAAATAAATTACTAAGCTAATTTGCTCATTAACTCAATATATATGTTAATTTATTAATAAAAATTAGTAATTAATATGATTGCTTTGCTACTTTTAGTAAAGTAAAAAAAAAAAAAAATTATTTTACTAATTGACAATGTTTTTTAATAAAACGCGTAAAGCCCATAGAAAGAAATTATTGCCTTTTTAGAATAATAATGCCCTTTATTTAAACTTTTGCACCCTGCCCTTTTTTCTGCCTAGAACAGGGGTCACCAAACCTTTTTGATCATCGACCCCTATATAATTTTTCGAAATCTCCATCGACCCCCACAAAAGTAATTTTCTGTTAATTTAAATAAAACTATTAGATACTGTGTTTGTACATTTATTTTATGATTTTAAACATTTATTAAAGTAATAGTACATTGTATAACAATAGTTTTATGAAAAATATATTAATATTGAAATTTAAATACCTTATTATTAAATAATAAGTAATTATGCATAAGTAGATATAATAAGTAAAGTAAAGGTGCTTCTTGATCAATGAGATGGGTGTGCCTGGTATTTTTTTTGCAAGGTTCGCTATATTGGATTCAAAATTGGTCAATTTTAATTTTCGTCAAAAATGGTCAATTTTGTAATTTTTTTAAAAAAAATACAAAGTGTGCTATAGTTTTGTCGCGGGCTGTACTAATCCATATTATTAATGCTTACCTTCTTTTTTGTGCATTGATAATTAAAATTGATATCTAAACCAAACGAATGGTTTTATCGAAACAATAACTAATTATCCAAAACTATAAAAGTTTTAATAATGACACTGCAAATATTCAACACAGTTTTCAAAGATAGCTGAAACTGCATATGATATTTGCATTTGTAACGTCAATGCTCGTCACACGTGACATTTGGACAAACGCACATATGCACATGACTTATAAACTGCCCTGAGTTCGTGCCACTGCGGGCTGGTACGTAAATACTTCTTGTTTCACCCCAATAAATATACGTTTATTAATTTATGTTTTATAAAGAAACTGATATTGAGTCAATTATAAAAAAAAATCACAAATTTTACATACTTAATTAGGTATGTGTGATTTGCGTATTGAGAACTGTTTTTTTTTTTTTCCTCGACCCTTCCGATTCGGATCGACCCCCATTCGCCCCCTGTCTCAGATCGACCCCCGCTTTTGTTAAATAGACCCCTGGGGGTCTATATAGACCACTTTGGCGACCTCTGGCCTAGAATGAGCTCTGTTTGATGTTCTACTGGGAATAGTGTTTTTACGATCAGTCCAGTGAAGGACTTATCAGAGTAAAATTAATTATTTTGTAAGGGAAAAAATTGTTGAACACTGGGCAAAGATTAAGTCAAATTATTTTTTTACATATAATATTGAACTTAGTCTTTTTGCTTAGAAGTCAGAGCACATTTTTCGATGTACAATAAATAAAGGGTAAATAATGAGGCGAATGTATAATAAATAAGTTTATTATGAAATATATATCTAAAAAAAATACAATTTGTATTTATTCAGGTGAATACTTGATCTGAAACAGACTGAAAATCTCAAAGTGATCTTAACCGAGTGAGAGCAATTTTGAAAATGAGTTACTCAGTGTCATCCATATCAAGTTCATTAGTTGCATCTTCAACATTATTATCACCAATACATGAAGTTAATTCTTTATTGACTTCATATTTCATCTTTGTGAGAGAAATACTTAATCTTGCATAATAATTCTCTCCTTCCTTCAAGTCGATCTTCTCATCAAAAACGATTTTACTTATACTATTGTTCGTCAATTGAGCTTTAACAATATCCATCCTGATTATTTTAATTCCTTATAATATATTTATTTATTTTTCTTTGCAAAGAAATTTTAAAAAACAAAATAAGTGTGTAAAGTTATATCAATTAGCTTCTGGTTGTTTATTTTTGTCTAAAAATGCTTCAGTTTTTAGAAACTGACATATCTGACCGGTTAAAAAGATGATACAGATTAAAACTTTCAACCTGTTTTTAAATAAAACGTTCGTTAAAGTAGATTTTATCATAAAATATTTAACTCCAAGCGGGGAAACACTTCATATCACTGTGCTGTCCCTTTATTATGAACACGCGCTCATCTCAGCGAATATACGTCGATTTTAAAGGGAAAAAAAATCTGGCAATAAATTTATGTTTATCATATGATCCTTCAAAACTTAAGTGGGTTGGGCGCTGAGAAGTTGTGATAATTGAGGTTGTGAAATCTTATTTATTTTGGAAAAGAATTTTAATATAAATTTTAAAAATGGGCGCCTTATTTAGGAGCCAGCAGATGGTATTATGTCAATTGTTTTTACAAAATGAGTCTGCTTATTCCAGTGTTTCAAATTTAGGAGAATTAGGTCTTGTTCAATTCAGGGACGTAAGTAAACATTATAAAATATTTATTTATATAAATATGAAAATAAAAGTCAAATTCTCTTTTAATTATGCTTGAAATATTAATTATTTATACAAAAAAAAATATTATTTATAAATCTAGTATATGATCCCACTTTTAAATTGGACGTTCTTATTTGTAATCACATTTTTTTTAAACACTCTATAAGGTTTAGAATTCGTAAGTTATAGAAGAATAGAAGAAAAAGATAATAAATCATGGAAAATAAATATCTGATTAGCCATTTATAAGCTTCTTTTAGAAATATGTTGCGAAGCACATATTTCTAATAGCATTTTAATCTATAGCACTTCAAATTTATGTAAATTATTTAAAGTCTAAATCACCAAAATATCAGTTTGGACCGTGGGTAAGGCTTTAATGTCCTAGAATCTCTTGCAGATGTTTCTGCATCAGTGCCTGTTTGTGATGACTACCTACACCAAGGAGTCAAAGAGGTTTTTAAGTTGAAAAATTTGCAAAAAATGTAGTGGTTTGTTTGGGGGTGGCTAATTGTTTTAACATTCAGTATGTGTTTTTTTTCCTTAAGTTTTTAATGTGTCATTGCCCCCGACTGTTGTGTAAGTTTGGCAATGTTTTGATGCATAGTATAGGGATATCTTCTGAACCTTTTGACTGCTTTATTAAATTTCTAGTCTGCAAAACATGCTAAAACTTTGAAAAAGATTTGTTTTTGTAGTTAACGTTATATTGAAAAAGTTAAGACCACTGAGGCGGTGGTGTGGCGGTTCTAAAAGTGTGAATTATTTCAAGTTTATGGATATGCAATTATAAAAAACGCAATGACAACTATATAATTAAGTTACTTTAAATTATAATATGATTCTCCTCACAGAATTCTCCCTCTTTAAAAATGAATTAAAAAAAATTGTGAAGAAGTAGTTTTATGTTGATAAAATTTATTAAAAATATATTCTTTTTCTTCTGTGTAGCAGTAGGAGAAAATGAAGATAATTTTGAGTTGAATTGATATAGAAATTTTTGAAATCTCGCAAATCACAAATATTTAAATTTTTTAAATATAATTATCGTAACATAAATTGAACTGAGTTTTAGCGGCCATGGGCGATCATCCTATTTGCCATCTTTTAAATATTGCCCTGAAATCACTTATCTAACATGTTGCTTTATTTAAAGTTTAAATCTTTAACTTTTTAGTTCTTTGAAAAAGTATTTTACATTTATTAAATTTATTTAAACATTTTTTCTGTAAATTATTATAGATAATTAGAACAAATTTACAAATAATTAGTTTAAATTGTCAGAAATTAAAAAAAGAAATCAGAAAAGCTTTAAGTGTTAATATTCCTAAGTTTCTGTATAACTAGTTATCTTTTTAGGTTTTCTCACTATAAGTCAACACTAATAATTGAAAATGTTGTCCAATATTTTAAACTTTGTGTATTTTATTTTTAGACTAATGCTTCAGTTAGTGCCTTTCAACGAAAATTCATCAATCAAGTCCGGCGATGTGATGAAATGGAAAGAAAACTAAGTAAGTATTTATTTATTTAAGTTAAATGTTTTTGATTGTTCAATGTGTCAGAAAATGGGCATTCTAGATGAGAGATACACTTTTTTAAAATCATTGATTCAATTAAAAGGATTAATCAATTATCAGAGATGACAAGTTTCTTCCACAGCAACCATGGAAAAATTTGTCCATGTAGAAATATGTTTTTTCTAACTGAAATGGAAGAAACTCTAAAAAAAAAAAAAAGGTGTGTCTAAAATAAATGCTATTTTTTAAATAGTTTAAAATTGCAATCTCGTTTAATAATATTAATTCCAAGCTATTTAATTTATCATTATTTAATAAGCTATTTAATATATCATTATTAAATAAGTGAAAACTAAAGAGCAACAACTGGTTGGAGAAATAAATTAAATGAATTTCTCAAGAAATTAAATATTTCATGTCAATAAGTATCGTAAATCTTAATTTTATAAAAAATTGTTAAAATATCATAATGAAATTTTATTAATGCTTCTTAGTTGAAAAATCTCATGCTAAACATATTCAATATTACGTGTCCCATACTGAGTTCCTTATCACTAATAGCATGCAATTTTTTAATCAAATACTGTTAAGTTTGAGTACTTGAACTGATTCTTAAATAATGTTATAAATGGATTTAAATATTCTTAATCAAACTAAAGTGAAAAAAAAAGGGAAAATAGTTATTTTAAAAAAGCAGTAGTGAAAAACTTTATTTGTTTTGATGCTGTGTAAAATTTAACTTTTTTAAATTAAGCTTTTATTATAATACTTATTGCTATACTAATCGGAATTGTCACTTTTAGTTTCTTACATTTTGCCCAGTTTATTTCATTTTGTTCAGTTTCTTCCGGTTTTTTAGAAGTTTTATACTCGTGGAAAAAATGTCAACCCTTTTGATGGATTGAGCCTCTTAAGTATTTAGTTTTCAATGCCTCAGCATTCATTACCAAGAAATCAATTCAACTGGTATTATTATGTAATAAGTTCTGATTGAGCTTGTGTGAGGAAGAAATTATCAACAGGTGTGGAAATGGGTTTCTTTTTAGGATCTTGAGCAATGATTCCATTAGCCTTTAGAAACTATGGCTCATTTTCTAGGACCTAGGACTTCTAAATTTCTGCATCCTTTTTTGCTATAAGCTGGTTTTATCTAAAGTAAATTTTTAACTTAAAGATATAGATAAAAATAAATCTTTTATGATTAGGAAAAATTATGATTCATAATAATAATTTATTAAAGAATTAAAACCCAAATTTTGATATCAAATTTTGATAACTTAAAGATATAGATAATAATAAATCTTTTATGATTAGGAAAAATTATGATTCATAATAATAATTTATTAAAGAATTAAAACCCAAATTTTGATATCAATCCAACTTAAAGTTATTTTTATTTTCTCTCTCTGCTATTAATGCAGATCAAAAGAAATTTCGTTTTAATGTTTAGTTTGTCTTTACCTACATAAGTATGCTGGCGGACTATTGTATATTTTTAGATGGAGAATTGCACGTCTTGTGGAGACGTCACAACTTTTACTCATCTGTCGTCCGCATATTTTTCATGCTGTAGCACCTAAGCAAAAACTCTGTTGAATGAGTGTGGGACAAATATTTGCATTTTTACTATTATGTTCATCAGCGATTAACTTTGTCAGAAAATGAAAAGTATAATTTTTTTTTGGTCTTAATCTTTACTCATTTGATCCATTTTGATTTTTTTAGAGTTAGTTTGTCAATTGTTTTTGCAGATAAATTTTTTGAATGTATAATACCTATATCTAATTCTATATAGATATTTATAAGTACTTACTGATTTAATGAAAATTATTTTTTTGCTCAGCATTTGTTGAGAAAGAAATAATAAAAGATGAAATTCCCATGGAAGATGTTCAAGATAATCCTCTAGCTCCACAGCCTAAGGAGCTAACTGATTTAGAGGTTTGTTAAAAAGTTAATATTTATCTTGTATTTTATGCATTGATTTTTCTATGTTCAGGGTATCTGCACACCTGGAAAGTCATGAATTTCAGTATTGAACAAATTTTGTCATAAAATGTCATGATTTTAGCTATTTTTTTAAAAATAAATCATGAAAAGTCACGGATTTAGGTAGTCGAGAAATCTTCATTTTTAACATTTAGTTTACCCCTCCCCCAATTTCATGGTGTTCCGAATATCTGAATTTGTAATAAAATCCCCACTCACAGTCATATTTTATTAAAATAAAATTTTTTTTATCGCTTTCTTTAAAAATTATGGTGTTCTTTCACAAAATGAAAAAAAAAACAAAACAAAAAAAAAAAACACAATTTCTAGAGTGAATAATCTTTTAAGCTTTTGTGATTTCAGAATTTTTATTATTATTTTTTTATTTTATCAATTTAAAATTCTAGCTGAAGCAAGCAAGTCATTGGCGAATTTTTTAAATTCTGAAATGAGAACAGAAAAACCAGGAGTATTTCTTTCTTTTCCGATGAATAAGAAAAGTATCTTTAGAATATAATTCTGCAGAAGAGAAAAAATATTTGTTTTTGTATTTTTTCAGCTGTTTTATTGCTTCAACTCTTTCTTAAATTTAAAATCTATAAATATGAAGATGCAGAGTATAACAGTTTTGGTTATCCCTATAATTTCAATTAATGTTATTATAATGCTTTTTTAAATTTATTGAATTGTTTTCGCAGAGAAAATAGTAATTTTGTTAAGTCATGAAAAATTCTTGGAATTAGTCATGAAAAGTCATGGATTTGAAAATCAAAAATGTAGCTGATTACCTGTATGTTTATGGTGATGTAAAAATTGAATTAAAATAGTTATTTATGAAATTAATGTATTATTATTGCATTAAGTTTTATTTTTTTTCCTAGGCTACATTTGAGAAATTGGAGTCAGAGCTGAAGGAAGTGAATACTAATTCTGATGCATTGAAGAAAACATTCTTCGAATTATCTGAGCTTAAAAGTGTTCTATTGCAAGCTCATTCTTTCTTTGCTGACGTAATTAATTGTATTTTTTCTCCTCTTTTGTATTTTTTCTTTCTTTTTAATTTTAATACATCTGATTTATTAGTTTTGTTTTTAAACAGATGCCATTATTGCAGGTATGTTATAGTTTTATGCAATTAATTATAGTTCTTATGTATAAAATACTTATTGCTTAATCACATTACGTTTATCTAATTAAATTGAATATGGTGCAGTGTTATACAAAACATTTTTGAAGGTTTATTGGCTTTTCTATTAATTAGTCAAGAGTAAAATTTAAAATAGGTGAGTGAAGTTTCAAAGAGAGATTACGTTTGTAAATTACCTCTTATTTTTTTTACCTTACATTGGTGTAAACAAAGAACTCGAGAATTATTAATTGAATATTGTATATTAATTGAATATTGTACAGTGGGTAGGTCAAAAATGTTTCCAAAAGCTATAAAGTTGAAAAAAATTAAATTTCTAAATTTTTCAATTCATTAACATAATTTTTTCTATCAAGTTTTAAAATGTTACACTAATATAAAAATACACACATATATATATATATATATTTTAAATACACACTAAAATAATTTTATCTATTATATTTTCTGTTTTAACAAGTTAAAGCAACCTTAAATATTATTTTCTATTAAAATTAAAGTTTTGACACGATACAACAACCTTGAACTGTGTGTAAAATACTTTTACATTTTAACAATTAACTTTTGACATCCTTAAAACGTTATTTTTCCTTTAAATTCTGATTTTATCAAATTATGACAATCTTGAATAACATTAAAATACCTGAAAATTTTGACATTCAACTTTCGATAATATTGAAACATTTATTTTCCATTAAAATTCAAGTTACGATAACCTTACACAACAGATTTAGAAGTTTCACACCATGGTCAGTAAAATTCAGATTTTTTTCAGTTTCTGAATTCAGATTATTTTCTGTTTCCAAATGCAGAATTTTCAGTTTCCAAATGCAAATGAGTTTTTGATTTGAATTTCAGGTATTTGTTTCACTTTCAAGATTTACAGTTTCAAAAATGTGCAGTTTCTGTTGTTATGGAATGTTGGTGCACTTTGTTTTTAATGTTTGGATATTAGGTTTAATTAATTATAATTATTATTTCTATTGTCATTGTCAACTCTATAGTTACTAAATTTAAAACTTCAGTCTTGTAAGTTATTACTAAATCTGAAATGAATGTTGAATCAACAGGATTTTATCTGTGTAAAATGATAAACTTGAAACACAATGTGTCTCTAATGACAAACTAATTTTGTCTCTTGAATGCTGTTTGTAATGTTCGTTTCCAAATGGTTGTTTCCAAATGGTTGTTTCCAAATTTGCTTTTTCTGCTTGATGTCATTTTAACAGCTCATTCATGTGTGCATTTCATTCACAAAAAATGAATTTTTTTTTTAAAGGAAAAAAATATGACAGTATTTGGAAACAATTTTAACCCACTGTACCTAATGTGTTATTTTACATAATTTCCATTATTTTAAAATACTATTTGCAGGTTAGTTAGATCAAGAAAAGGTTTCTAAAAAAAAAAAAAACTTTTCTCAAAATAATCTTATTTTACTTTTTATGCATTTATTTAATTTTTTTTGCTCCTCCCGTTTACAGCATGTTAAAAATTCATGTCATAGTTAATATCTTCATTGGAAGCATTAAAAAAGGCTTATACCGAAGGAAAGCTTTCTTTCTTAGATTTTATATAAATTTTGCATTTTCCTACACATTTTTGCATTTTTATATAAATTTTACCTTTTTCACAAGGAGCTGTAGCTATTGCTTCTGTTAGAACAATAGCAACTAATTTTTAGAATTCAGGATGCATGAAAAAGGGTGTCATTGTGACCCTCTTTGCTCTCATTGATATATTCACAGAAGTTTATTATCTTCTATTATAGCTATATATTATCTAGAGCTGTATAGCTATATGTTATCTTCTATATATTATCTAGAAGTTTATTATTCTTAATAATTCAAATGACTGATTGTCATGAGATTATCTTCTATAGCATGAAGAAAAAAAAGCTAAAAATAAAAATTAAGAGGGTGTTTTTTCTTCTAGTAATATTTTGGTAGAGTGAAATTATAATCCAATATGTAAAATATGAATCGAGATGCATCGCTCTGCTGTCGGTTTAACCCACTGACAGTTCTGCTCATTGACAGTTTAAAAAAGTCATATTTTAACCTGCAGTCTTCTCCGTATAGCAAAACTGGTTTTTCCATGTAGTTCGATAAGAAAATAGTGAATAAAGGAGAAATATTCTCTTCTCTACATTTTGCCCACTCGTTAAACCACCTGTTGTTTAACCAAATTTAAGTTTAAAAAGGAAAGTATTTATACTTTTGATTCAATAATGAAATGTAAAAATTTTTAAATATTCTTTTGCAAAGTATAGTTATTCTTGGAATAAAGTTCTTGAAAATTGATTACTATATTTTCTAATGTATGCAATTAGTTTGTAGTAATACAGTTTTATGATAGTTTTACTTTCTTGCATTACATGTGAGTAAAATCGTTTCAATATTTTATTTTTAGCAGGAAACTCAACACCAAGTTGATACTTTAGACCACACAAATTTAGTTCCTAATGAAGTTTCTTCTTCTGCTCCAAGTCAACACGGGTAAGAAGGGCTTTTATATTTAATAACAATGCTCCAAGAAAAAATCATTTTAACTGGTTTCTGTGCTATCAATGACATTTAAATTATGCAGAAAATTTTAGTTAAATTTATGACATTTCTATGCTTAGCTTTTTTTTATTCTAAAAATTTTTCCCTATGAGCTAACTTGAAATAAGTTATTTTTAAAAGCAGATTGCATATATTTATATATATATATATATATATATTCTAAGAGGCAATTCTAAACCTTAATTTTGTTCTAAATGTCAGTATTCAGACACACAACAGAAGTTTAATATGAAGTTGTAAAATGCATATATATATATATATATATATATATATACAGTGGAGCATCGTTTATACGACGATCACTTATACGACGTTTACATTTATACGACGTTTTAGTGTGGTCCCAAATCATTCCTATTCATTTTAATGTAAAAATATATCGTTTATACGACGCACAGAATCGGTTATACGTCGGTTTTTAGATTTTGTTCACGTTTATTTAATTTTTTATTTTCTCTTGTGTATTTTAAAAAAGGGCGGAATTTGCCAACATGAATGATACAGAAAAGGGTGCCAACAAGAATGCTTGGATGACGACCGTAATTTTTACTAGATGACTGAAAAAACTAGACAATGTTATGAAGAGGCAAAAACGAAAAATTTTGCTATTCATCGACCAATGTCCAGCGCACCCATCGATACTAATTATTTTGGAAAATGTAAAAGCTCTCTTTTTTCCTGCAAATTGCACAAGTGCGCTTCAGCCATTAGATTTGGCCGTGATTAGAAATTTAAATTGCGTCATAGAAAGCAGTAAGTTCAACTCGCTATTCAAAGCATTGTAGAGACCAATAGCAAGAAAATATAATTAAAGGTAACATGCATTCAAATTGCTCACTGCAATTTTTCTTCTTTGGTTATTTGTTTGTTTTGCTTTGTCTAATTTAGAAATGTATGTAAATCAACACGTTAAACATTAAAATTAACTGAAAACAGAGTTAGTTTCAGTTTTAGAAGTAAAAATCGATTATACGACGTTATCGTTTATACGACGTTTTTCGGTGGTCCCTTCGGCGTCGTATAAACGATGCTCCACTGTATATATATATATATATATATATATATTCACAAAAACATAAATGGCATGATTAATTATGTAAATGCATATATTATGCTCCTAAATATTTTAATATCAAGATGGCTTTCAAGTCATCAAGAAACCCAGTTGTAAGTTTGACATCATTGCATTTGTGTGTTTAGAAGGCATATATTTTATAAATTGAATTATGAAGTGCAAGGAACAGATATTGAAGATGCATTATTTTGCTTCTGAGTGCCTTCATATTCGTAGAGAACTATAAATTAAAGCGCAGGTAATGATGGCAGCTAAAATTCGTAGTGAGGCTTCTGGGCTACTACTTCAGATTTACTTTTATTTCTTATCTAACAAAACACGACACCCTTTATTGTTTATTGTAAAGTTTACAATATGACTTGCGCTATTTGGTTTGTAATTGCATTTAACTTAAGCTGAAGGTAGGAAAAATTGAAAATAATACTGAAAATATAGCAAACCTTACACTCTTATTTACGTTGTGATATTAATTTTCTTAAATTTATTTATGGTCCACAATTTCTTATAATATGTAAAATCTAAAAAAAAAAAAAAAAAAAAAAAAAAAAAAAAAAAAAAAAAAAAAAAAAAAAAAAAAAAAAANAAAAAAAAAAAAAAGAAAGAAAAAAAACACATATGAATGGTAAAACAATGTGCAAAACTTTCTAAAATAACAAGCCTTTTCATACATAGTCTTCTAGATTTAAGAAGAGATACACCGGAAACTACCGAAATTCTAAAATTTAGAAATTTGTTATTGTTTACACTCAGTTCACCATCCATTTTTTAAAATTCCAGATTATGCTGGCTGTAATAATTTATGTAAATTCTTCCTTTGAATTGTTACATCAGAGTTGGCTTCATTGTAAAATTTGTTTGTTCTTGCATCTTAATTATGAGTTTACCTAAGCGAATTCAATTGTTTAACAAAAAATGCTTAGAAACTTCAGTATGATTAATACTTATATAATTTTTAAAGTTGAAAAAAATGTTTGAAATATTAAATATGTGAATGAATTAAACGGACTAAGATAGAATCTGTTTATTCATGTTTTTAGATCACGAAAATGTAGGTTAGTGAATTATTTGTTTTTCTTCTTATTTATGCATTTTTTTCCTTTTGTTGTTGTTTTAATGTTATTTTTTTTTATAGTTTTGTGACTGGTACTATTTTAAGAGAGCGTATCTTAGGATTTGAAATGATGCTGTGGAGAGTGTGTCGTGGGAAGGTTTTCTTAAAACAAGCTGATATTGACCAGACACTTGAAGATCCTATAACAGTAAGAATCATCATAAGCCCTTTTTTTCATGAGCCACTTGTTTATGGCACTTAACACTAATCAACATAATAACTATGGGACTTAACATAGTGAAGCCTACACTTCTGGTCCACTTGTATATAATCCCTAAGTAAAAGGTTAATAAAAAAAATTATAATCTCTAAAAAAATCTTCAAAAAAATCTATACTAAGATCTTCATGAAATGGAAAATATTGAATAAAAATACATTTATTGGAAGTATAGTAGTATAAAAAATGTCATAAAATTTTATTTTGGGCTTAAAAGTTCTAAAAGATCCCAAAGAGCCTGTGTTGTGAACTGTAATGAGTAATCATTACTCTTTTCCACCAGCTTGGGTTGTCCCCCTCGCAGAATTTTTACAAATTATTGTTTTTGTTGTTTTATGTTTGTGCCATCCCTAATTTGTGTTGTCCTTTCCTTCATTTTAATTAATTACTAACTATAAATTTAGCTAATCAACTAGTTTTAATAACATATGCCTTTGATTCAATATTTAATTCTTCATTTATGGAGGTGGCCTTATAGGCCTGGTACTCCTTGGTGTCAATTATTAGTTTCCACAGAACTATAATGAGTATCCAGAAAGTACGTTTTGTGATCAATTTGAACACATACCAATTTGCAATATCTTCAGAACTTTTTTTGTCTTTGAATGCAAATTTGGGTTGCCTGTTTCAGTTTTTTTTTTTTTTTGAAATTTTTTTAAAACTAATATTTTTTGGTTTTGAATGCTGTATACAGCACCTTTTTCATCCTTGATAGTGTTTTTTTATGTTAATTTTCCCTGGATCAGAATCACTTGACCTTGAATAATAATTACAAGTTTGGATGACCTCTATTCCAGCAGTTTTTGTTTTATAGAGGTCTTATTTGGAGAAAAAAATTACATGAAAGTTTAAAATTAAGATGAATTTCTGTATTGGCTATTATTTTTAAGTAAGATTTATTGTTTATTTTACATGTATCATTTTAAATGATTAGTTATTGTTGTCAACGTTCAGAAGTACGCATTTTCTTAAGATTCTGAAATTTATTTTTTTATTAATTGGGATATGTTCTTGGCACCTTGCCAAAGTTTCATTGTTAGCACTATGGGACCCGATGGGAGAAATTTTCTTGTTTTGTAAGCTATCAGTACGTGACCGATCGGGGAGATATCTCTGTTTGGCAATAGTTAATTGCTGCTGTTAAAAATATGTAAAGGCTAGCTTATAGTCAAGTCAATTGCTTCAATTAACAAAGTGTTAATATAATTTCAAAATTTTTTTCATGAAATTATTAAATTTAATCTGTCTCTTGATTAATTTACATTTATAATTATTGAAAAAGATCTTAAAATTTTGTTTACAAAATTATTGAATAATAATCTTGGTTGTTTGCAGTTAAAATTTTGCTTATTTTATATTACAGGGACAAAAACTCAACAAAGTTGTATTCATTCTGTTCTTCCAAGGTGAGCAGTTAAAAGGTCGTGTGAAGAAAATTTGCGATGGGTAAGTTGCAATATTTATTGCTTGTCAATAATTTTTTGACCGCTATTTATGTGTTATAAATATTGCATAGAATGGATAAAAATGTGTATGAATTTCTAATTTTTATTCTTATACGTAGCTATTATTGTGAAATTAAGGGCACAAAATATCTGTTGTAAATTTATACGGGCAATAATTATTTGTGGTGCAGGGTACAGAAATTAAATGTGCATGTCTGCTTTGGCATGTTAAACACCCAACAAATTTAAAAATATTTTTTAAAAAATTAAATTGAATAATTTTGTTTTATTAAAGTAAAAATTATGACTTCGGTAAAAAAAATTATAACATAATTTATATTGTGTAAAATAATTTTGTGTTATATTGTGTAAAATGAGTTTCAGTAAATAATCCATATTCTTATCTATCGATCTGTAAATTTTTTTTAAAAGATAATGAAATATTGTAGTTAAATTGAAATAAGTAGCTTTTTATTGATTGCATGTATTCTGAATAAAATTTTTCGATAAAATGGATTGCTTTTTTTAAAAAAAAAAAAAAAAAAGCCTACAATACTTGTTGAGAGATCTGTTGAAAGGCTGATATAATTACTTTAGCTCATAGTGGATTGATTGTAAGATATGGTTCCCAGTAGATCTCCAAAGTCTAGTGTTACTGACAGCAGTCACTGAGTGGGAGTGGGAAGGTGATCACTTTAATCACTGTACGAAAGAATCAAGTGTGAATGTATTGATTCTCTTAAAGCAACTTCGACAGTACACAGGTCATCGAGTTACCAAAGTTTTTAAGCTCTGCTGAGACTCAAAATTGTGATGGCCTGTTCTCGGGAATGTGTCCCAAACCGTCGCCAATAAGTCATTATGCAGCTCTAGTGCAACGTGAAAAAAATATTTCTGCATCATCTACTTTACTGGTTTCTATTAAATTTTTTAAACTTTTTAAAAAATAAAAATTATTGTATCTTTAAAAATGTCGAAGAAATACAATAATGTTTAGAAAGAAGAATCTGTTTCCCTCATAGAGTATTCGGAAGATAAAAACGTATACGGTACTAATTCTTGATTAAAAACATTACAAAACTGTGCTAGAAACTTGGCGGAAATAAAATTACAATCATAAAAAAAGTTTCTTTAATTTCTTTGATTCGATCCCCAGCTTGTGCGGAGTAAAAGTGGCCCGTGCGCAGTGCTGACCACATTGCCACAATCATGCCGTTGGTCACAAAATTGTGAAGCCTTATCCCCTATGATCCCCTGCCCCACAACAGGCTGTCGCGGGAATGCTTTACTTTACTCTATAAAAGGAACTTCTCTTTGGGTTGGTTTTTACTTATTAAAGTGTGTATAGTTTTTATAACAAGAAAATGTCTCTTTTAAGTAATTAAGTTTGACAATATTGTGAAATTATAGTTTTCATGCTACTTTGTATCCTTGTCCTGAGACATATGAAGAAAGAGAAAACATGCTGAGTGGTGTAAAAACACGCATTGAAGACATAAGTCAAGTAAGTTTTTTTTTTTTTAAAGCACTGTTCATTGGCATGATGTGTTTAATTTACATGTAGTGTAGTATTAATTTACATATGATAATTTAAAAGATTAGTGGAAGGATATGTAAAGAGGCAACAAACAACCAAATTTCAAGGTACAAATAACATTAGGGTTTTATGAAAACATAGAGTATTATTTGAAGTATTAAGTTTTAAGCTTTTAAATATGGTGATTTTCAGTAAAATCTGTTTTTAAACGTAACAAGTGTCTATTTTTTTGATATGCGATTGAAACTTGATTTACTAAATAGCGCTAAAATATTAGAGAAAGTGTATATTAAAAAATGTTCTTTCACTTGGTACTTCTATTATATAGCTTGCCACACTTATTAAAATTGTGTAATAAGAATTGCATTACACTACCCATTGCTAATGTAATTTTGAAATGAGCAAAACAGAGAATGATTTCTAATTCTTATTCCTTTTTTATTCAAAAAAAAGTTAAGAAATTTTTATTCAAAAAAAGGAGTAAGATGAAGAAATCATCCTCTGTTTTGCTCATTTTTAAAATTAGATAGCAATGGGTAAGGTAATGCAATTCTTATTACACAATTTTAACATGCTCAAATTTTTTGTTTTGTTTAGCTGACTTTTATTTAAGCTATATTTAAACTTAACTATTTTTAACCTTATACTATATATTTTTCAATTTTCAATTACATTTTATGTTATTGTTTTATTTTTGTAATCATCATTCTGCAAAATACAATTTTTTAAATGGCTGTTAAACATGACTGGCTACAGACATGGTTGTAAAACAGTACAGGCTCTACTATAACACAGAAGAGAAAGAAATAAGTGTTTTGGTTTTTCTTTTCTTTTTGTTTTTATTTTCAATTTGAGAAGTATAATGTTAAAAGTCTACTTGCTATGTTAAAAATTACTTAAAAGTCGCCTTAAATATTTTTAAATTGCAGGTTTTGAATCAAACGAATGACCATCGACATCGTCTTCTAGTAAATGCAGCAAAGAGCATTAAGATGTGGTTAATTAAAGTTCGTAAAGTGAAGGCCATTTATCATACCATGAATCTTTTTAATCAGGATGTTACCAAGGAGTGTCTTATAGCTGAATGTTGGACTTCTTTCACCAATTTGCCTGCAGTACAGCAAGCATTACGAGAAGCCTCTGTAAGAAATTTTATAATGACTATTTTTGTTTCATAAATTTTCTCATAGTGAAAGTTTTACTTAGATACCAAAAAGCTTGTTTAAAATTATGATCTTGTTGATTAAGTAATTAATCAGAAAATTACAAAAGCGAAATTAGTTACAAAATTAGATTTTAGTGCTTTTTTTTTGTGAATTTTAGAAGAATTATAATATCATTCACCAAGTTATTAATTTTATTTTTATTGCTAATATACTTCATTTAGTACTAGTGCGATATAGACAAACAAATCAAAGCATTTTTATTATTAATTCAGGATGTTCTGTATAATTCTAGCTAAATTCTAGACATAATTCTTTATAAATAATTCTAGAATAATAAAGTCAAATAAATATACACATTAAGGGATCTCAAATTAGTTTTTAAACAAAGAAGAGCAGAAATGTTATATAAATCTGGCAAATCAATTTTGATGAAGGTGAGACTGAAAGCACCAAAACTAGTTTGATTGCTTGAAAATGTTTTTGTTAAATACCTTTGTTATGCATATCAAGCAAGTTACAAAGTTTTCGCTCTTGCCTTTTCAGTCACAATTTATTAGATAACTAAAGTGTTTTTGGTTTTGTATTTCCACTACGTATTTTTCAATTGTCATTAAGTAGGAAGATTCTCTTATTGTTTTTTTAATGCTGTAGAGGCAAGCATTTTCTCTCTGTCATAATGGAATGGTTGCTGAGAGTATTTGTATAATATTTGTTGAAAAAAATTTTTCATAATCTTTTAAATGTATTACTTACATCATAATTCGAATAGTTTCCTTTTGTTTTTAAGAATTTATCTTATAAACTTTTTTTGAATAACATGTAAGAAAGAAAAAAATATGACTGTATTAGCATGGGAAGATATTAGATAATTTTAGAACTATATCTTGTAAATTATTTGTTTATTAGACATTTACACAACTTTTCTAATGTTTTGTATAAATGCTATAAGAATTGGTCAAGAACTTAAAATCTGCCAAGTAATAAATACAGTTTTTATTTGGACCAAGTACCAGTTCTTAAAAGATTCAGTTTCACTAGGTACCGTGACCTGGAAAAATTATTAAACCTGGTACACATGTTTTCTAAAAACTGGCATATATTTACATATTTTATTTATCTTACATTATCATTTATTTTTAGGAACAAAGTGGAAGTAGTGTGCCTTCTATTGTAAACTGTATGGAAACAAAAGAACAGCCACCCACTTATAATCTTGTAAACAAGTTCACATCTGGCTTTCAAAATATTGTTGATGCATATGGGGTTGCTACATATCGTGAAGTAAATCCATGTAAGTGATGTATGATAATGTGATCTATATCGATAATCTGATGTTTTTAGTTATTTTTATACGAATATAAACTTGTATTTTCTAATAATAGATTTTTGTATCATCAAAAATTAGTATGAATTTTTTATTTTGAAATTTACAGTGGAAATTTTAATTTTATGTAAAGAAACATATCTGTTTTCCAAAATGTCAGTTTTTTAGAAATTGAAATAACATGTTAATTTCATTGTGAATCTTAGAGAATTCAAAATATTTTTATAAACTCTAAATTCGTGCTGTAAATTTGAAAGAAAAAAATGAAATTAATAAAGATTGAGGTTAGGTGCTGGCGGTTCAGACTCTTTCAATTTGGTATTTTAGTCTTTTACTTTGGTTAATTGTTTTTGTAAGTAGTATAATCTTATTGAATTAAAATTTTGTTTTATTGTGCTTTTCAAATCTTGTATATCTCAGTTATACATTTTTAGAATTTAAAAAAAAATTGTTTGTTAGCTAATATTAATTATCATGTAAAATTAGCTAATATTGATTAACGTGTAAAAATCTTGTAAAATTTCTTTTCATTGCAGCTCCATACACAATTATTACCTTCCCATTTCTATTTGCTGTGATGTTCGGTGATGCTGGACATGGTCTAATTATGTTTCTTGCTGCATTATGGATGGTTCTGAAAGAAAAGCAGCTTTTGGCATCAAAGTCAACCAATGAGGTATTTCTTTTCAGCAGTTGTTTAAAATTATTAAAAGTACTGCAATTTTTTATATATTAAATTAGAACAGTTCTTTCCTATTCCTCCCATGTTATTATTTACTTATTTAACATAACTTTTTTTAGTAATTTTTCGTTCTTTAAAAATTTAATTTGATCTTATATTTTATAGTCCAGCATTATTTAAAAGATAATCAAATTGTTTTTGCACATGCACCAAAAAAATAAAAAAAATCAATGTGACATATTCTTATGCTATTTTTGACATTTAAAATTACGTTATTATATAAAAATGCTGACGATTAACAAACAAATGCTTGAAAATGCTTGACGTTATCAAACAAACACAAGAAAAAAGGTTTAAAATGATTTTTAATTTTTTCTTATGTGATGTCTTATGCATATTTTTTAATTTTTATTTAAATTTTAAGCATCAGCTATTCATTAGTGTTTATAATTTAAATGCAATATCTTTCGTTATTTATCTAGTTACTTTTTATCAAGGAGTATTCCTGTCCTAAACACAGTAATTTATACCTAGGTCCATAGCAGGAAATTCAACCATGCTTAAAAAATGCAACTATGTATTAATTCAATTTGATTAGTTATCTTAAGCTTCTTTTTTTATAAATACTTTTAGTATTAAATGTGTCAAATTGATATTATTTTAACTTATTTTGTACACCTTTATCTGTAAAAATTTTTTTTTTGTAATTTTCCCTTTTACAAAACTTTATATATTCTTTAAACTGCGCAATATTAATAGGTAAAGTGCATTTTCTTGCTCTCAGCAACTATTACTTGATTAATTATGTTAAATTGCACTTTTTTTTAAAGTAATTTAAAGATCAAGTTTGTCAAATTAATATTTTTAAATTTTCCTGTATAGCTGTTTTTTTTTTTTTTTTAGAGAAATTTATTCTACAAAACTTGAAGTGTATGTGTTCTCTAAACTGTTGTATGTTTTTTAGATTTGGAATACAATGTTTGGAGGTCGTTATATTATTCTCCTTATGGGTCTATTTTCAATTTATACAGGAATGATGTATAATGATACATTTTCTAAATCAATGAATATATTTGGGTCCGGATGGGATATTCCTCAAGAGTAAGAATAATTTGCAAATTGTAGAATTTTAAATTTTTTCTTTATAATATTACCTAGTTATCTGCTTTATTTATAAGAAATTTGTGCAATTTTTTAGTATTTTTATGTGATATTTTGTTAATAAGAACTTTTTGATCTCTTATTATTAAGATTAAATTCCTGTAGTTTTTCTTAATGAACAGACTTAATGTCGGTTGAATATGCATGTCTCATGCATGGTTATTTTCATTAATTAAATCAAATTCTTATTTAAATTTTTATTTTATTATTTAATTTTGAGGTCAAATATCAATCCATTTTTCACTCATCTATCGCTTTCCTATATGTATCATTTTGGTTCAACAGTCTTGTCACAATTGCTCTTTTTATAATTTTATGAATGCCAGTTTAGATCGTTGATCAAAACCAGTGAAAACATTTTCGGAATATCTCAGAGCCTTTGAAACAATAAAGAGCTTTCTGTATTCAAAATATGTCTTGTCTTTTATAATGTTAATAATGCCGGTTCAGATTGTTTTTAAAACCAGCGGATTTCTTCTATTGTTCAAAAATTCTGCTGATATTTTCAAAAACTGAAGTTAATTCATTTTGAGAAGAAAAGTAGTGACCCAATTTTTATGGATTTATGACTACTTATGTTCAACTCCGTAGAAATGTAATTTTGAACCCAATCCAGAAGACAAGGGAATCGAGTATTGGGAGAAATTTGCCTTTGTGGAGGACTTTTTGATGTAGCTAACCCGCATTCGCGTTGCGTGGAGAGAAAGACCATGAGAACCTCCCACGGTTAGCCTGACGACAAGGGGACTCTAACCCATGATCCGTCTACCATTGAGGATATTTCACGTCAGCATTGTGGTCGGTGCAAGCCGGATGCGGAATTCGTTTCTACTGGGATTGAAACCCAGTTCGCCTCATTGGAAGGCGAATGCTCTATCCCCTGAGCCATCGCGGCACTAATGATGAAGTTTAAGAAAAACGCTTTATACAACATGTTTAATGTTTATACACCACTTGATGAAAATGCTGAAACTTTTGGTGTTGTTCGTTTAAGAAGCTAAAAATGTGCAATGTGATACCGATGGCAAAAGTGAACTTTTTCAAAGCCGTCATCATCATCATAGTTTGCCAGACAGCCCAATGTGAGCCAATGCCTTCCTCTGAAGATTTCTTCACGACGACTTCCGATTGAACTTTGATCTCCAATTTTTTTCATTTATTGCGAGAAAATCAGACTCCACTGAGTCAACCCACCTCAACTGCGGCCTTCCCCGCTTTCTTTTTCCAGTGGGTCTAAAAAGCAGTATTTTTTTATTGTGTTGTCATCGCTCATTCGAATCACATGGGCGATCCAATTCATTCTATTTATTTTTATGTATTTAATAATATCAGGTTGTTTATACAGGGTGCGTAGCGTTTGTAAAAAGTGCTTAAAGGTGCTTTTTTGGGGATTTCGTTTTTAAAAGCTTTTAAAGGTGCTTTTTTCAGTTGGCGTTTTTAAAAAGTGCTTTTTTACGAATAATTTTTTTCCCCTTCAGTGATATCTGGTGGATCCCATGTATTTCACGAAAAATGGGGAGTTTGCTATGTAATCATTCATGCGGACTTCTTGTCGTACCGACGTTATGACTTGCACATGCGCGCACACTTCAAACCGAAACCCGAGTGCTCCAATTCCGATAAGAGAATATCAGATCCTTATGAAATGTTTTTCTTTTTAATTTATTTTAATTTTATTCTTGTTTATTTTATTTTATTTTACTTCTAACACTTTTTTTGACGTAGGGGGTAAGGGTACTTTTGTTCTGAGTTCAGGGTCAAGTTGAATTCACTCGGTGATGTGGGAAAGTACTGATTGTTTCGATTTACGCCCGTTTCTTTTTGGGTTTTTTTTAACGCTAAAACTGTTTATAAAAAGTTTTTGTTTTTCAATAATATCATTGATTGAATATGAATTTTTTGAGTGCTTGAAAATTTTTGTAAAGTGCTTGAAAAGTTTTTAAAAAGTGCTTATTTTTGATTCTAAGATTTGGCTACGCACCCTGTTATAAATCTTGTACAGTTCAAAGTTAAATCTCTTTCTCCAGTTATTGTTTTCATTTACACCACCAAGTATACCCCGCAAAATCTTTCTCTCAAAAATTGCGATACAATTTTCCTTCAGTTTTGTCATTGTCCAAGCTTCAGAGACATATGTCAAGACTGGCTGGACAAGAGTTTTGTAGATTAAGAACTTTGTTTTCCGAGAAAGAAACCTAGATTTAATAAATCTTCTCAGCCCATAGACAGCCCTATTCGCCAAATAGAGTGGATTTTTTATTTCAGGAGTAATTCTGTTGTCAATGGTAATAATTGATCCTAAGTAAGTAAAACTCCTCACTGTTTCAAATCTATAAGAATTTATTTCAAGATAGGGGTCTGGGACTCTGTTTCTTGAGAATAACATATATTTTGTTTTATCTGCATTTATGACCAAGCCCATTTGCCTTTATCAAAGCCAATGAAGCAATTTTTGGAATGTCTCAGAGCTTTTAAAGCAATATGGAGCCTTTTGTATTGAAACGAAATTACAGAAAATGAGCGGCAATTTATGTAAATGTTGAAAATTAATTGTTTGCACTAAGAAGAAAAGAGTATGTACAAACCAAAATTTCCAGATGCAGTCGGACTTCTATATAACGAACTTCCATTTTACGAATTTCTCTATTTTGTGAATTTTTTTAAGGAACCAAGAACATTTTGGAAATTTATTCGTAAAATAACTTCCAAATATCGAAGTGAATTTTCTATTTAACAAACTTTTCTTTGAGATCCACTTTCCCTATTTCATAAAATATTTCAGAGCATTTTAAACTTGTTATAGCATTTTATGGGGGAAATACTCTTGAATTGAATTTCAAAGCCACTTCACTTTTAAAGAACACAGTAAAATCACTTTCTCTTTTTGCTCGCATTTCAAACGAAAAACTCTAACATAGACGACAAAATCAACGGATTTTATCAGAAGCAATTGAACTTTAGAACGCATGTGGTAATGTATGTTTAAAATTACTTTTATAATAAATGCAGCGATAATTTGATGCCTAAATTTAGCTTTTTTTAGTTGAGAATGTATATAGCATGATTGTGCAACACTGGATAATGTTTTGCTCTATTCTTGCTTTCCACGCAGATTTCTTTTATGATTAAGATTTATAAAATAAATAGTAGATACTACTTTACAATATAAAGGTGTATCCATTGCTATTTTAATTATGCCTAGTGTTTATGAACTTGAAACCTGTTTTGTGTCGTTTAAGTATTTCAAAAGATGATTTTCTATTTAACGAATTTTCCATATAACGAACTTATTATCGGTATTTAGCGACTTCGTTAAATAGAGGTTCGACTGTATTTTAAAAAAGTAAATATGTTCTATTTATCCTTTTTTTACGTAGTAAAATGTTTTGCATTTGGTAGATAATTTTTTTCGATTAAAATTTTTAGACTAGTTATAAATTTATTTATTTTCACATCTATTACTTCGTTTTCGCTTTTCATGCATTAAGTCACTATTGATATTCTCGCATCTACCATTCATAATAAGTGGTCCCTTGAGAAACAATCAATCAAGGTTCTAAGATAATTAATTATAATATGTATTATTTATCAAGTCTTGTGTTATAACAAAGGTATTAATAAGAGTTATTTATTTGATAATTGAAAACTGAGTTTTTTCTCTCTTTTATGTTTATCTAGTTTCTCCCTTGAAGGTAGAACCTATGCATTAAATCCAAATGTAAGTTTTTATGATGGAAAGCCCTATCCATTTGGAGTGGATCCTGTAAGTTAATTTTATACTGTTTAGTTCCTAATAATTAAATTTATTAGTCTTGAGTCTCTTTTTTTTTAAAATTTATAATTTAGCAAGAGAAGTTGTATGTAACATGTTTACCATATAAAGTTATTATTGAATTATTTTAATTAAATAATTATAATGACATGCGTTAATAGACCTTGTGTTATGTCCTAGAGCTTTACACTAGCAATTTAAAAATAGTAGTCATTGACTACTAGAATCATAAAACACTTTAGTTCCAATATTTTGATGAAGGACCATTATTGATTCAATATAGTCTTTTGAAAAAACTCAATTCATTTGATTTAGAGATTTTTTTTAAAAATTTAAATCATTATTCATCAAAAAGTGATCAACAAGACTATTTGAATATATGATAAAATCGGTTTGAATCGACTTCATCCAAATTTCTAGCAATAATTGTAGTAATCCCTGTGGCGGAATTTTTTTGAGCTTTCTACGACAATTCTCTCTAGTACTAATACCTTTCAGAAGGACATTTTTAATAGTAGCAAATATATATGTTAATAATTTAAAGTAACAGATGCGCTTTCTGTTTACAAAAAAGTTTGTATAGAACAAATGTATAGAATAGAACAGTATATAATTTTTTAAATTATAAGTGTAAGGAATTTTTTAAAAAATCTAAATATAAAAGAATACATATTCTAATATTATTGGCGATATTCTCCTGTTTAAAAAATATTTATATAGTGAACCTTTTTAAATTTTTGCTATTTGGAAATTATTTTTTATAAATATCAATCTGAAATTCTAGCTAAAGACGGTCTCAAAAGAAATTCTCAATTATTCTCTCAAAAGAAAGTAGAAAAAAATAACGAGTATTTATTCTTCCTCTGATATGCAAGAAAGATATTTTTCGAATATAGTTCTGCAGACAGGGAAAAAAAGTTCTCCGGAAAAAAAATTATTTAGAAATTTTAGAAATATTCTATATACATTTATACCTTATTTTATATTGTTACTGTTGCAAAGTTGTGGTTACGAAGTGAAGTCTCTTATTTTTTATAATGTTTTCATAAAAATATTTCTTACTTACCTGTTTTTATTTTTTAAAATAGGGTACACTAAATATTTTCATTTAGCACCTACATTTTGAGAGCACAATTATTATGGGTGTTGATATTAATACTAAAAATAGTATTTTTTTATAGCTTATTTTTTTCATTTATATTTTAATAATCTTATTCCTCTGCTGTGAATTTTTATCTTTTTAACTCATTAATTACTTTAAAAATAAAATGTTTAAATATTAGAAAAAAATATTTAAAATTGTTTTTAAAATAATATATGCAATAAATTTTTTATGCCATGTTTTTTGTTTTACCCTTTCAGATTTGGCAGAGTGCTAGCAATAAAATCTTGTTTTTGAATTCTTACAAAATGAAAGTATCCATTATTTTTGGTGTGGCTCAGATGTTGTTTGGTGTTTTGTTAAGTTTATGGAACCATGTGTATGTTCAGTTTGTATTTTGGACCTCGTATTTTACTTGTTAATTGCTCTAGAATGTTACTTAATTTTATTTATAATTTATTTTATAATACGGTTAAATTTTTGCTATCACCATTTAATTGTTGTAATAAATTAACATTACAGTATTAAACAGATTTAACATTTAATTAAGTACTCTTAAGTTTTTATTTTTCTTTTGAATTTGAGAGTTATTTGTTAATGTTTTCGCTTAGTTAAAATTTAACACTGCAGTCTGAAATTTATATTTTGAAACTTTCAATGAATCACATTAACAAAAAATTTTTCATACATGTGATTTTTATGCTAAATTGATTATTATTATTATTTTTGGTTTGTCGGATTTTTACCCTTTTTAATATGTGAAACTACGTTGAAATTCGCTAATATTGCAATTCACACATTTTATTATCAAATATCGATTTTCATTTTTACATGATTTAAAAATCACTTGTGAATCGTATTCACATGATTTAAAAATCTAATCGTAATTTGTATTTATAGGTTTTTGAAATATATATCATTATTCTTTTTCACATAAGTTTTCGCTTTTTGATGTCAAAATTCAATATCGTGATTCTTGTAAGAACTAAGTCTTTTCTTAAATTAGTTACAATAAAGTAGGATTTCAAATTCTTCATTGCTAGGCAATTATGCATCTTAGTTCAAAAAAATTATGAAAAGTATGCAAATTGATATCTTGTTATCAAGTTTGCACATAAAGTTTTAAGGGATTTTTCACTTTGAGTCACAATCACCCTTTTTAATTGTCATATTGGAATAGTGTCTCTATTGCTAGGTTTTACTTCTGTAATAGAACAATTCTCGAGACTTTTAAAAATTTAACACATTCCTACAACAGCCCGTTGTGGACTTGGTGGTCATGAAGGTTAAGGCTCCACAGTTTTGTGACCAACGGCATGATTGTTGTAATCTGGTTAGCACTGTGTACATGCCGCCTTTTCTTTCCAGACAAGCCGGTATTCATTGATCTGAAACTGGGTGGGCTTCAAGCCGCCATTGGGCATCGAACCCTAGTTCTTCACAATGACAGTTCAGTGCTTAACCACTGGCCCATCTTGATTCTACTTGCCTTTCAGACTAGAAAGTTGAAAGACAATTTTTCGAAATAATTTTCAATTATAAATTTATCTTTCTATTATTTTATAATATGTGAAAAAAAATAGGAGTTAAATTAAACTATTTTCGAAGAAACTGATTTTTTTTTTTAAAATCAGTGATAGCGTGAATTCATATTTCAGTTGACTTCAAGCTTTTGTTTTATTTATAGCTATTTCAGAAGATATTTGAACATTTTCTGTGAATTCATTCCCCAAGTGCTGTTTTTGCTTTCCATATTTGGCTACTTAGTAGTAATGATATTTATGAAATGGGTCTTGTATGATTCAACTCAATCTTCCTGTGCTCCCAGTCTTTTAATTTCTTTGATCAACATGTTTCTTATGAACTATCCTGGTGAACCCTGCTACTTAGAGAACATGTATGATGGGCAAGTAAGTATCTTTAAGCATCTCTGTGTTTTGAGTAATTATTATTTGAATTATTTAAGAACAAAAGTTATAGCTATTTATGTGAATAACTAGTGGTATAACTACCACTGTAATTATTAAACATCAGTTCACTAGTATATAAGACATGCTAACTTGAGTCAATCTTGAGGTACCTTTTCATAGATGAAGGTTGACATAGTCGTAAACACCTTTTCCCACAAACTGTTGACCGTGTTCTAAAAACAAATGATAATTTAAAGAGTTAGTTAAAAATAAGAGGAAATAGAATAGGCCATTTTGTGCATTCTGCTTGGAAGTCAAGAATTTATTCTCACAATGTTTTTTGTTTTTATATTTTATATCCGTCGTTGAACAGCCGACCCATTTTTGGGTTTACGATTACTAATGATCAACTCCGTAGCCTTGAAATTTTGAACCAATCCAGAAGACAGGGAAACTCCTGGATCAGTAATCAAAGAGGTATGATTTGTTATGGGAACATGGAGGACTTTGTGACTCGAAAGATTTAATGTGCATCAGTCACCATTTACTATACGGGGAGTCTTCGACCGGTAGGGATCGAACTCGTGAACTCTATGACATGGACTCAGTGCCCTACCAACCAGGCTATCCCAGCCCAAATCTCACAATGTTTGAATTAGTTATAAAGTTTGTTAACAGATAGTGCTCTACTAATTGAGAATCACTGTGAAATAGTGTTTTTTAAATTACCAAAGTGACACGTTCAATATAACTGATTCCTATTTAAATAGTTTAGTTGGAATGGTTTTACAGTTATACTGTTTTACAGTTTTTATCCGTTAATATTGCCATCTGTAGAAATACTTAGTAACTATTTTGAGTAAAACAAATCTAAGAAGAGGATAATAATGATTTATTTTATTCAGATGTGCAATATAATTTGAGTATTATAAATACAGATAATTGAATAATTTTTATGCATTCAAAATTTTTATTTAGTGACTTGGATTTTTAAATTATATTTCCACAATAATCTAAAAAAAGAAATAAAATAAAGGGTATAAAAATTTATGATGAACAATGGCTTCCTCTTATATAATAACTAAAGTGCTAATTGTAACCATTCTATGTGTGACAGTGTTCTGAAATCTGAAAATTAATTATTTCTTAATTATTAAGAAAATTATGTTTGAAATCATGCATACTTTGGTGAATTTTTTTACAATTGAATGAATTTCTGCCAGGTCAAACAAAAGGATATTATTTTTCTTTTCTTTGTTGTTTATTTATTTATTCATTTTTTAGAATTAAATGATTTTTTTCGTTGCAAATGTTTGAGGGCAAAATATTATGGACGTGTAGTTTTCAAACCACTTTTTTTTCCTAAGTAATTGTAGTGAATTTTTATTAACAAAATTATTTAAAAAAAAATTTTTTTTTTTCAGTTTTAATAAAAAAATTTTTTTTAAGCATTTCACGTTTTTATTTTTTGAGAGTAAAATGAAAATATGTTATCTACAAGTTCTGATTTTACATACATTCATTATAGGTGAAATATACATATATATACATTACTTGTGAAATATATCTATGTACATTATATGTATATAAATACAAAATTTACATATATTTTAAATTTTTCATATTTACAGCTATTACATTAAATTTTTTTATTTTTATTTGTTTTGAGGTTTTTTAAATTAATTAAAATAAATGAATTTGTTATGAATTTAATGCATAGTTTGGATTTTTGAATTTTTTATTTTTTACTTTTGTTTTTGATATTGTTGTAAATTTTAGATGGATTATTTAATTTGATCTTTTTCCCTTTTAGAATATTGTGCAAACATTTTTAGTGGCACTGGCATTTGTTTGTATTCCTTGGATGTTAATAATAAAACCAGTTGTAAAACATATGAACCGTCATGTAAGTATTTATTTTTTACAAAAGCGTACTTGTAAATTTTTTTTTAACCACTAAAACTTATAATAGTTTTCATATTATATAAAGAAATTTTTTGTGGCAACATTAAGTTACTATGCTATTTTACTAATACTATATTAACTTTTACGATTAATGAATGCTGTTTTAGTAAAATGTATTAATTTATAATAGTTATGTATTGATAAACACACCTATACAGAACATAGTAGACTATACTTTATTTAAAATCCTTTTTGTTTGTAAATAAAGGTTGCTGTAAGACAAACAATAGCATATAATTTAAGAAGTTGGGGGGCGGGCCAAAATAATCACGAGTCTCATTTTCAAATTGTTCAGGAGAGCATTTTTGTGGGAAAACCCCATAATTTCAATGTAGGTAATGAGATGTCTTTGTTTCATGCTATTTTTTAATGTAAATTCTAGAAACTTAAGTATCTATCTGGAAACAAAACTGAATAACAGTTTGGTATAAAAATGTCAACTATGAAAATAGTTTATCACTCTATTATTTTATACCCTTTAATTGTTGAGTTTATGTTTTATGTGAATGAGTCAATCTTTGATCCTTGATTTTAAGAAACATTATTTCTTTAATGTTTTTATATTATCTATTTTTAATGTTTTATATTGAGCGACATTAAATTTAGCAATTTTTTATTTCTAGCATTCTAATGAGGTAAGTTTATATCATGTATCATGCTTTGCAAATATTCAATGAAATAGTTATCTTTTCTTTGAAAATGTTTTAAAATATCAATAATTAGATAAATTAAATAAATTTTGATTTTAAATTTGACAACTTTTATGTTAAAATTGAAATGTTATGGCGACTCATTTCATATTATATAGAAGATTGTTTTCCTCTTATGCTTAAAGGGATTTTAAAGATTTGTTAGTAAATAAATTTTATTTAAAAGATTGAAATTTAAAGCCTGAAATTAGAATTTTATAATAACCTTTTTTCTCTTGTTTTTAATGCTAAATTTATAAAATATTTAAATCTAAATATTAACATTTTTAACTAACTCGTCATTCATATTAAGATTTGATGTAAATATTTTCATAGCTTTTTAATTAAGATACATTGTTTTTTTTAATGTGTTCAGTCTAAAATTTACTTTTTGTAAATTAATGTATCTTCCTCCTATGTTATACGACCGTATTTTAAATTAGATACTGTAAACAAATGATGTTTTTCTAATCGTGAGAAAGGTTTGCAATATTAAAAATATTTGTATTAAGAAAAAAGTATTTGATTTTAAAATAATCAAACACAAATTTTTGTGATAAATTTAAGTAATAAAGGAATGATATTATGCATTTGTTACACTGGTTGTCCAAAAAATGACTGACAATATTAATATTCAGTTTACAGTGTTTTGTTTTGGAAACTAAAAATTTATTCTCCCCAATTAATAGATAAAAAATTATGATTTTTGATATTTTTTTTTCTCCAGAAAGTTTAGAAGGTAATATATTTCTTGGTAAAGAATATTTTGCTTTGAGCTTTATGTTAATTTTTGTTACTTTTCTTGGTGGAAATAATTTTTACTTTTAAAAACACAATTTTCTTATTATTTTTATTTAGAGATATGAAGTGACACCAGCTGAAGGACATGAAGAGGAAGAAGGTTTTGGTGAACTTTTTATTCACCAAGCTATTCATACCATAGAATACTGTTTAGGTTCCATATCACACACTGCCTCATATCTCCGATTGTGGGCTTTAAGTTTAGCTCATGCACGTGAGTCTTTCATTTCCATTAATCAAATTTTAGTTTTTGTCCATTTTTTATTATTTTTATAGGTAGAAAAACATTGTAAATTGGATTATAGAAACTCAGTTCCCTTTTGTGTTCAATTATCTTAATTAAAATATGATAATGAAGTGTGTTATTAGTTAAATCTGCTATATTAAAATAAAAGTACTGAAATTAAGTGTTATTCATAATGATCTTAGTTAAAAGAAACTAGAAACTAATTAAATATAATTAATTAGATATATGATATTAGTTAATAACTGAGATTTTTTGTGTTTATTAAATTTTAGTTGAATTTTAAATTTAGGACTATTTTGACAAAAGGAGCAATAATAGAAATCTCACTAGTAATATTTAAAAAATTTTTCTTGCTTCAAATTTTATTAAAATTTATTCTTTACTTTCTATTACTTGTTACAATTGCGTTTAATTTTTTTAAAATGATTTTTATTGGTTGCTGATCTTTATTTTTCAATTTATTTTATGATTTTATTCATTTTTTTATGAAAAGGATGTTTTGTTAAAAAGCGTATCACTATAAGTTTATTCTGTTCACTTTATTCTATAAGTAGCTTCTGGCTATTTTCCTTTTATTTTTTAATGAATTACCTCTTTTTATGAAACACTTATAACATTCATAACATTCAATTAAAATAAATAATTTGCTTTTTTAATGAGTTAGCTCTTTTTATGAAACACTTATAGCTTAACACTTATACTTAAGAATGGTTTGAAATATTTAGACAATAATTAGATTGCTATACATATTATTATTCTTATAACTTTATTTATATTTGTTTTAATTTCTCTTTTTTTAGAATTATCTGAAGTTTTGTGGAATATGGTGATGAAAATGTCTCTTGGTATACCATCATATGCTGGTTGTATAGCAGTTTTTGCAATATTTGCCGCCTGGGCTGTACTTACTATAGGAATTCTTTTAATTATGGAAGGATTATCTGCATTTTTGCATGCCTTACGTTTGCATTGGTAGGTACCTTCTAAAAATATGAGATGCAATTTTTATAAAAAATTATTTCTTCTCAAAATAAAGTTACTTAAGACATTAATGTACTAGTTATGGGATAAAAACTGATAATTAATCTAAATTTTACATATATACATTACTAATTGATAGGTAGGGATTTTTATATATCTTAAAACATTTCCTAAAGTTAGAGGGTTTTCTTAAAAAAATCAAAGTGCATAGCATTTTTAAAAAGTGCTTATCTTGGTTTTATGCTTTTTAAAAGCCCATAAAGGTGTTGTTTTATTTGGAGTTTGTAAAAAGTGCTTAATTTTTTCATCTTTTAAAAAGAGATTTTTTTCTTTGCTGTATCGATTGTTGTTCTAAATTACAAAAAAATGCAGGATTTTCACAATTTTCTCTGCAATATTTATCGAAAACTAGTTATTTTATCATGATTCTGTGAAGTTTTTGAAAATGTTTTTGAATTTTATTAATTTTATCTTTATAAAATTAAGAACTTTAAACGATAGAATTTTTTTTTAATTACTGCACAGATTCTAATTATGTTTTTTTTTTTTTTTGGAAAGTGATTAAAAATATTTTTTGAGTGCTTAAAAGGTGCTCATTTTTTGTTGAAAAATCTGGCTACGCACCCTGAAAATTCGTATTGAACTTTACTACCTATCATATTTACTTTTTGTAACTTAATTTATTTCAGTGTGTTAAATTATTATATTACTTTTATGAATAATTTAATTATATAGATTAATTTCTTTACTTCTTTTCAGGGTTGAGTTTCAAAGTAAATTTTATGATGGGCAAGGATACGCTTTTGTGCCGTTTTCTTTTACAGCTATTGTTGATGGAAGTTTAGATGAATAATACAGTCTCCTTGTTACATCTATATATTATCCTAGAGTTTATGAACATCGATTTATTTATAAACAAGATTTTTGTGATACATAAACATTCCAGTTCTACAAATTATATATAATTAATTAAGAAAAACGAATTGGATCAATTTTACTAACAAATGCTCAAGTACAATCTTAAATACTATTTATTGAACTTTTTAAATCTATATTTAATGTCAGAAAATTTATAATGTTGAAAGAATGTATTGCCAAAGTGCTTATGGAATTAGATTGTTTTAGTCATTTTAGTAAACAAAGATTTTAAATATTTTCCACTATTTTGTGAACTGTATTTAAAGAGCTTTTCATATTTTAAACTTGTACTTCATATATATTATATTCAAGAATAAATATATTTTGCTCAAATGTTTATATTGTTTGAAATAATATTAAGAATTTTCAGATACTGAGTCATTAGTATTTTTCATAGGACTATAGTATTAAAAAAATTTTGGGGAAGACAAGAGTACAATGAAACAAAATTTACTAAGTTTTTTCTAGCCACAATTTTGCCTGCATAGAATGCAATTAATGCACTTTTTACATCTTGTGTTTTCCAAACTTAAATTAATTTTGATTAGTTTCTGAAACATCTTATTATTGGGAGGACAGCAATATTAAAGGTTTAGCATTTTCAGTGTATACCTTGTAGCAGGTATACACTGAATATCAGATGATAAGCTATAGCTTATCTTTCAAAATTCCAACCACTTTAAGAATACCTAAAATACTAAATTTTTAACTGAAGCTGTGTGTTAGATAACATTACAAGTTTCAATTATTTTTGTGACTGCCACTGTCATATTATTATTGAATAGAACTTGGGGTAATTGATAATTTTTTTTGAGTAATTGATTAAAAAAGTGATTAATTTTTAACTGTTCTGTGTTTGATTAAAATACAAATTTCAAGAGCTTCCTTACAGTTATAGGTATAATTTTTTGAAATATAGCTGAGAAAAATAAATTTAAAAAAAAAACACAAGCAATTAAATATATTTTTAATTGTATTTTATTTACAATGTACACATGAAAATTTGTTAAAATAGAAATATCTAATGAAAAGTCAGAGTAGATGAATTGTATGTTTTATAAAAAAATAAACAAATATGTTAAAATGATTTTGTATAATTTTTTTAAAAATTACTTAACTTCGGCACTTTAAAAATGCTCTAATCTTTTTTATTTTCCGAATTCAAAACTTTATAATGTTTCTGATAACCCGATTTATATCCAGGACAGAAACAACAAGGCATATTTTAAATTCAGATAAATAACGTAAGGATTTAAATAACATCCAGATAAAGTTGCCAAATAAAGAAAAATAAACTTTTAAATTTCAGTTAAATAAATGGCCCTTGACAGACTTCGTTACCCACAGCAACATATGCTTAAAAATTAAAATAATAATTTTATTTATTTAATTGGTGTGTTCTTGCTTGAATTTCACTAAAATCCAGCTCCCTTCTCAGAGGGAAGAAAAAATGAAATCGGTCAAAAAATGTAGCTTATCTCTAACAAATAATTAATAGAATTTCTTTATATATCCATCATAAATTTCATTGTTTGAAGATACATCAATTTTAAATTCTTTGTTTTCACGTTAATTCGTGAAATGTATGAAATGCAGAAAAATAGTGTCAGGAAATGTGAATAAAAGCATAGCCGATATTCGTGAAAAAAATGCATTTCTCCCCGTACACCAGTAGACTGATCATTTAGACACGGTCCCCTGTCGACACGAAGTCAAGCATCATTGACTGCGGTCAGTGTACGGGTGGTTGTCCACTTTGATCAGGCTACGATGGGACCGAGGGAGTGCGGTTTCAGTCCTTGTTAAACTGTTTACCATAAGAAGTGGTCAGGTTTTGGGCTAGCAAAATATGGGGACCATCCCATCCGCAGAGGATCAATTTTGCGATGGGACGTCTTTGAATCATCATCCCAGAATCATGTTTCCCAGACTGTTGCCAATAGCTAATTGGGCAGCTCTAGTGTGATGTAAATAAACAACTAAACACTACTGCATTTTACTCCCCGGGGCATAACTGGGGTATTTTAGCAGCTGAGGTAAAATTTAGTTTTTGCTCCACCTCACTTCACCATGCTTTTCAAGAGAATTTTCAATTTTAGAGTATGGGCAGGGCCGGATTAACCTATAGGCACACTAGGCACGTGCCTAGGGCCTACAAAATTCAGGGGCCTACTAAAAACTTGGGAGAAAAAAATTTGTTGACAAAAGTAATTTAGCTTTAAAAACAACAAGTGTATTTTGCACAAAATTATGAAGATACAAATAAAAATATAATATTTTTCGGTAATAAATTATTTTGCAGAATCTTATGATATTACTTTTTTGGATTCAACGAAATCTTGTATTATGCTGTCGAATTCCAAACTACGTAAAATGTCGTATTCAATAGACATAAGTTCGAGCGATGCCAAATGATCTTGATTCATTGTTGAACGCAAATAATTTTTTATCAATTTTAATCTGGAGAAAGATCTTTCTCCTTCTGCATTAGAAACAAGAATCGACAAATATCACTATCAATTTCACTGTTTTCTTTGCTGGTTTGTTGTTGTATTGTTGACGTGAAGTGTTTACATAGTTATCGATCGAACAAATCATAATGGTATTATCGATATCAACTGCAATATCGGTAATATGTCGGTATTGCAGATAAAGTTCGATAAACAAATTTGTAAATTAAAATCCATATTAATAAAAATGTAAAAAAAATATGCAAGAAAATTTTAGCATATATTTTGAAAAGGGGGAGGAGTGGGGGAAGGGGGAGGAGTGGGGGAAGGGCCCAAAAAGGGCTATGCCTAGGGCCTACGAAAGGTATAATCCGGCTCTGAGTATGGGTATGTAATTATTATGATTGTCAGGTATGCTTCTGGGTTTAAAACAATAAGATAAGTAAAATATTTAAGACAACAATACTTGGAAGATATATTTGAATAACACTTAGCTGCCAACTCTACTGGATTTTTCAGTAGGTTACTAGATTTTGCCGATTTTTCCTGGTTTTTGTACATTTTAGAAAATTCTCTAAAATTGTGTAAGTTTCCCCCCCCCCCAAAAAAAATCCCTATTGAAATCGAATTTTTGTACTGTTTATTGATTGTTTGCTTGAATATTTAAATAAGAATTATTAATACGTAATGAAGCAAACCCCATTTATAGAAATCAGAACAAAACTTTTTCTAAAATGTTGAGTTAAAATAAAAATCCTATTTTCCTAAATCCTGAGTTCCATAAAAGGAGGCAAGGAAGGAGTTATGCATTTTAAAGATTATAATCTGTTATATTATTATATGCATATTATAATCAGCATATATTCTTTAAAATTAATTTTTAGAAAAGAAACTAAGATCAAACAAATTAAATTTCATAAAACAATCTTCAATTTAAACATAGATTTCTGTTTCAAACTTTTTTAAAAATTTTAAACAATTAAAGTAAAAAAAAATCTATGAAATGCTGCAGACTGATGAGCCAGTTTTTACGGATTTTTTTTCTTCTCAAACATATGATTTGTCGTTCTCGAGAGTGATTTTTTTTTATTACAAATTTTATCAATAAAATTGCGCAAGAAATAAAAATTTATAAATATAGTTCTTTTTTCAAATGTAAGATATACTTCAAAAGTTTAAGAAGATTATTTTGGTTTCCGCTTAACCTATTTATTTGCAGATTTATTGACAAAAGCTAGTTTTTAGAAAAGCGTCCTTTAATGGCTACGCCCAGGTTCAAATATTCTCTTTTGCATTCCTTTAGCTACGCAGCTGCTCTCTCCTTCGTTAATTTTTAGTAATTAAAAAATAGTCAATCCAACTAGTAATTACGTTTTCTTTCTACTGTATTGCATTTTTTTAAAAATTAGATTTTTTAGAATATTTTAAAGGAATTCATCAATTTTCCCTTAATTTCTAATAAATTAGTTTTAAATCTTTTTTCAAAAATTTTAAAGATTTTTAATTTTTTTAAAATTTTTTCCCTTTATATTTGTTTTAAACTGTTTGAAAAATTAAATTTTAAATAAATTATTAAATGTTTAAATTTAATTTTGTAAAGAATCTGATCTCACTTCCTCAATTTAGACATAAATCTGAAGGGCAGGGGAGTTTTCTCAACACCCCAATACCCATGGTACGATTCAGCAATCGACCACTGGATTTTTGATTCAACGGTTTTTACGAGCTCGTATATCGCATGTACTTGACGGTTCGTATCGACGTCGAGGATCGCACCACTGACCGAAGGCTGAAAACGTTGGACGCATCACGTTCGAAAGTTGTGGGGGAATTTTTCAGTAATAATACAATGTTACCAAAGTTATGTACCTAAATATTTTCATGACAGGTCTGGCAAAAATAGTTTTTTTTTCTTTCTTAGCTTTTAATCTATTTGAAAAAGTTAGTTTCTAGTTATGATTATTTTTTTTTTATTGTTTTCTTTTTAATTCTCTGTCTATTATTTTGTTAAGATCGGAAAGAGATCGATGTTTTGCTTGGCGATAAATTTGGCTTGCTTCGCTTAGAAAACATTTGACATATGTTTATAGCCAAGCTCCACTTGAAATGTAAACACTAGTTAGTCGGAAAGTGGGCGAAAGTTTAATTGACTATAAACTTTGCTTGGCGATAAAAAGACGTAATAATTTTTCTTTCGAAGTGATAAAATATTCCATTATTCATTTATAATCAGAAATTTATCATATAATTTAAATATTAAAAAAATAAATACTTATTTGTCGTGATTTTTACAAGTATCCATGCTACAGAGCGTTCGACCAAGTGGTCACGTGTCCCTCCTCTAAACGCTCCGTAACGAGGAGGTAAAAGGTTCGTGCTCCATATCCCACAGTAACCCTAGCTTTGTTGTAGCTAGCTTAGTGCTGTTTGTTCTTCAGCTTGAAAAGAGCTAATGACTTATAATATAATATATATGCAAGTAGGCATACGTCTGTCTAACAATAAATAGGTACTTTTTTTACGTCGCACTAGAGATGCACGATGGGCTATTGGCGACGGTTTGGGAAACATCCCTGAGGATGATCCGAAGACATGTAATCGCAATTTCGATCCTCTGCAGAGGGGATGGCTCCCCTGCTTAGGTAGCTCGACGACCTGCGCGCGAAACGCACTTTACGGTAGAACAGTTTAACGAGGACCGATACCGCCCAGCCTCGGTCCCTACGGATTCTGATCAAAGTGGTCACCCACCCGCTTACTGATGGCAGCCAGTGATGCTTGACTTCGGTGTTCTACTGGGAACCGTGTCTTTACTATCAGTCCTCTTCGGGACATATAAATAAAAAGTAATTTTATTAATTTGCAAGCAATAATCATAAATAT